ATTTTGGGTATTTGGTCAGCATGGATGAGTTGGACCCAAGGGTCCGTTTCCATGCTGTACAGCTTTATGACTCTATAATGACTCTAACCAGGTGGATATGTGATAGTTGATCAAATAAAAGTCCATATTATCATGTAGTAAGTTGTGACTTGTGTAATAGGGCTGAATATAAATTCCACAGGGCCCAATTGTTACTGGTTGTGATTCCCCAGTTTATGGTTTCAGACCTGATACCATAAATCATTAAGCTGCAGGTGAGGAAGGATGAACTGGATCCCTATATTCGTTCACCTGCAGCCTCAATTGGGCATAAAAATGTTAATTTAAAGAGGATCCCTTTCCTGTGGAAAATATACCCTCAGAACAAATGAGTTTGTGCTTTAGAACTAGTCAATTTAACAGAAAGCCAAAGAGGGAATGGGTGACTGTCAGTCAGAAGAAGGGTGGAAAATGGGGAGTCAGGAAATCCCCAGAGGGCATCTCACTTGAGCAGATAGTCTGTGTTGGAAAGTGGTAAGAATGTCATGGTTCTTCTGGGGAGTGCTGCCAAAGCCTGGTTTTATGAGGGGAAACAGAAAGAGAGGTACAACAATAGTGGTAGGAGATTCAATAGTGAGGAGTGTAGGCAGACATTCCTATGGCTGCAGACGTGACACCAGAATGGTGAGTGGCCTCTCTAAGGTAGTGGCTTTCAATCAGTGCATGTGGCAAAATATTTGGAAAGTAATACTTCTCTATCAGAGCGTTGAGGCTGTATCCGTACTTACTGAACACAGTACCTGTTGATATCTGGCACTCTGACTGCACGTGCATAAGTTTCCAGTGCCACGCTTGCAAAAAATTCCGATATCGCATAACTGGGGAGATTCGGCATCATGCATGCATGGAGATTTGCATCAATTCAGCTGAGAAAAGTTAGTGTGCCATGGAACAAAATTACAGATTGCTGGAAAAATTCAGCAGGTCTGGCAGCATCTGTGAAGAGAAATCAGAGTTAAAGCTTCAGGTCTGGTGACCCTTCCTCAGAACTGGGGTCACCAGATCGGAACGTTAACTCTGATTTCTATTCACAGGTGCTGCCAGATCTACTGAATTTCTCCCAGCAATCTGTAAATTTGTTTCTGATTTACAGCAGGTGCAGTTTTTTTTCCAGTTTTTATTTAGTGTACCATAGAATTGTTTATCTCATTGAAGCGGGCCATCTCGCTGAAAAGTTTGGGACCCACTGCATTAGGGCCAAGGTCAAGGATGTCACTGCATGGCATTGTGAAGGGAAGGGATTAACAATCAGAGATCCTGGTCCACCCATGGACCAATGACATAGATAGAACGAGAGATGAAGTCTGACAAGAATTTAGGAAGCTAGGTAAGCAGGTTTAAGCAGCAGGGCCTCAAAGGTTGTAATTTCTGAATTACTCCTGGTGCCAAGTGCTAATGATTGCAGGAGTAGGTGGAAAGAACAGATAAATGCATGGCTGAAGAGTTGGAACATGAGGAAGGGCTTTAGATTCCTGTATCTATCGGCTTTGCTTCTTGGGAAGGTGGGACTTGTACAAGTCTGAAGGATTGCACATGACCATGATGGCGCCAATATTATTGTTAGGGGAAGGGGTTGTCAGTGTATTTGGAAGTGATGCATAGATAAGTAAAGAAGAAAATCAAGTCAGACTAGATGGAGTGAAAGCATAGTCATCATGGCAAGGCTGGATGGCATTTCTTTTAATGCGAAGAGTCTTGTAAGTAAGGCGGCTGAGTTGAGAGTTTTGATAAACACATGAGGATATGATATTGCTATCATGAAGACATGATAGGGGGAAGGGCAGCGCTGGCAGCTCAATATTCTGAAGTATGGAGGGGTGTAAAGCAAGATAGAGGGGTGTGAAAGAAGGAGGGGTTATGCAATGTTGATCAAGGAGTCAATTATAGCAGTAAAGAGAACTGGTATCTTGAGAGCTTCCTCAAATGAGACCTTAATGGGTGAACATAATAAAACAAAAACGGGCAATCATTTTGCTGGGCTGTTCTATAGAGAGTTGGAAAGACAGATATGTCAGCAAATCTCATAAGTATAAAAATAATAGTGTTATAATTGGGGATTTCAAAATTAGGAAACGAGGAGGATTTTGTTGATAGTGACGAGAATTCATTAAGATTCATGGTGAATATGGATAAGCAGATAAAAAGAAGTATAAAAAATAGGAGCAGGAACAGGCCATTCAGCACTTTAATCCTGCCCTGCCATTCAATACAATCATGGCCGGTCATCCTACTCAGTATCCTGTTCCCACTTTCCCTGCAGACCAATTGATCGCTTTAGCTCTAAAAACTACATCAGTCTTGGAAGCATTGAATATTTTGGTCTGTACTGATTTTAGTGGCAGTGAATTCCATAGAATCATAATTCTCCGGATGAAGAAAGTTCTCCTTATCTCAGTCCTAAATGGCTAATTTACACTGGCTCTGGACTCCCTGATCATTTGGAACATCCTGAGTTTAACCTGTCCAATCCAGTTAGAATTTTGTGGAGAGTCCTCCCCGCCCCTCCCCATTCTTCTAAACTCCACTGAATGTCGTCCCAACTGATCCAGTCTGTTTTCATATGTCAGTCCTGTCATCCCAGGACACACTTCACAGCACCCTAGTTTGTCAGGCAACTAAACACACAGTTCAGGGGATGTAGTTTTTTTAAAATCCTGATGTAAAGCACAGGTTTAAAGGTAAAACAAACAAGTCTGCAGGAGGAGGCTGCAGTCAGCTCCTCGCCATCTCTTCCTTTTAAGTTTCTGTTTGAAGTTTCCCTGACTCTGTGCAGGTGTGACATCCATTGGTCAACAAAGGACTCTACAAGACAGTCACTGAATGTGCAACAATGGTTATCTTTTGGCTGACCTCTTTAACAAAAAAAAGTTGGCATTAAACCTTCAATTTGTCCATAAGTAATTGTGATTTTGATCTGTCATCATATCACAATAGAAATGAAATTTGGAAAGTCTGCCATAACTTACTGCAGCTGCATGAACAAAGTAAGTAATGTTTGTTAACTTGCAAGCAGAATAGAAGAAGTCACATTTCATTGTGCAAAACTGGCGTAAAATTGGCCAGTTATTTGAATGACAGCATCCCAGTGTTAGGTTAAGTTAATGTAAGAATGAAATGCAATGCTGCATCCTATTATTAGTTAGAGGGAACAAAGTGTCCCCAATATGGTTTAAGAAGATAGTTAAACTGGGTCAAATTATTTACAATAGAGATTGGTATAGATACATCTGACATTGAGAAAGTGCTAAAGAGCAGTGATTTTTCAGCAAGCAGGACCAATTAGACCATAAGAATTAGGAACAGGAGTAGGCTATTTAGCCCCTCGACCTTGTTCAGCCATTCAGTAGGATCATGGCTGATCTGACATTCCTCATGTCCACTCTCCTGTCCCTTCCCCAAAACCTTCGATTTTCCCCTAGTGATCAAAAATCTATCTCAGCCATAAGTATACACAAGGATTCCATCCTGATTGCTCTCTGTGGCAAGGAGTTCCAAAAAAAATCTTCTGAACCCTCTGACAAAAGAAGTTCCTCCTCATTTCAGTCTAAAATTAGTCATTCTCAGACTATGCCCTTTAATCCTAGACTCTTTCAAGAGGTGAAATAGCCTCTCAATAGTTACTTTGTCAAACCTTCTAAGAATTCTACATGTATAAATGAGTTCACTTCTCATTCTTCTAAAATCTAATCAGTAGTTTCCCAACCTGTTTAATTTTGCTCTTAGGACAATCCCTTCATATCGATAATCAACCAATGAACCTTCTCTGAGCTGCCTCCAATGAAATAACATCTCTTTTCTTAAATGAGAGGACCAGAACTGCTCACAGATGTAGTCTCACCAGCACCTTGTACAGTTGAAGTAAAACCTCCCTCCTCTTGTACTCCAGCCCCCTTGGAAAAAGGGCCAACATCCCATTAGCTTCCTGGTTACCAGCTGCACTGATGTGCTAGCTTTCTGTGTTTCATGTACAAGTATTCTCAAGTAAGAAGGCACTTGGGAATACTTGTGCATGAAATACAGAAAGCTAGCAAATGTTCTGAAGAAGGGTCACCAGGCCTGAAACCTTTACTCTGCTTTCTCTCCACAAATGCAGCCAGACTTGCTGAGTTTTTCCAGCAATTCCTATTCTTGTTTTGGATTTCCAGCATCTACATCTTTGTTTTATTTTACCCGCAAGTCCCTTTATAATGCAGCTTTCTGCAGTTCTTTTCCATTTAAATAATATGCTGTTCATTTGTTCTCCTTTCCAAAATGAACAACTTTATGTTTTTCCATATTATATCCCATTTGCCAACTTTTTGCCCACTTATTCAATCTATCAGTATCTCTCTGTAAACTGTTTGTATCTCTCTTGGAACCTACGTTTCCACCTATTTTTGTGTCATCTGCAAATTTGGCTATAGTACATTCGGTTCCTTCCTCCAAGTCATTAAATGTACACTGTAAACAGATATGGTCCCAGCACTGATCCCTGTGGGGACCCACTGGTCACAGGTCATCAACCTGGAAAAGAACATCTTTATACCCACTTGATGTTTCCTGCTCATTAGCCAATTCTCTGCCCATGCTAGTATGTTATCTCCAACACCGTGGGCTCTTATAACTTAACCTTTTGTGTGATACCTTGTTGAACACCTTCGAGAAGTCCAAATGCAACACATCTACTGATCCCGCTCTATCCATTCTAGTTGAGATTTCTCAAAAAACTGTAATAAATTAGACATGATTTCCTTTTCATGAAGTCATGCTGACTCTGCTTGACTAGATTATGATGATTTGTTTGTTCCCTGTTTAGACATGTCCAGTTGTCACAAGTGTTATCAACTTCATTCCAACTGATACTTTGTGCATGATGATTGTAAATTATTAATCAAATTTGGCTGTTTTTAGGTAAATAAAGCTCTTAGGGTTTTTTTGGCATCAAACTAATTCTCTCTTTCTTTGTCTGTTATACGCCACAGTAAATCAACAATTGGGATACAAGCTGGACATTGTACTAATTGGAACAGAAAATGAACCATTTGATAGTGATCTGTACAATTTACTGGGACATGCAGTGTATCCCATTAATTTGCATTTTGAATTTGGCACAATTACTATCATCCCAACAACTGATGAGTACTTGGATCTATCAAAACTCTTACGCATTAACCAGTACAAAAAGTTGTGGTTTTTCACATGGCATTTTAATTGTAGACTAAATGTGAACTCAGCTGAGAAATCTCATATGAGTTTGGTTAATTAAAATTTCAGCACAGAAGGTGTTGCTTTGTGGCTTCTCAATTGTAGCCCTTTGTTTTGGTTTACCAAGTTCTTTTCCTGTATTACTTGGTAAAACCACCATAAAGTGTCACATTATTATTGCAGATAGTTGTTTGGTAGTAAAAGTCAAGTTGTTATAGTCCCAGAGGACCAGTCTCCCATCAGAGAGAGGATCCTTCATAGAAACCTGAGCTGATGCAGGACATTGAACCCACATTCTTGCCATCACTCTGCATTGCAAACCAACTGTCCAGCCAACTGAGCTAACTGGCACACACAACCTGAACTTTGTCAAAAAATATATTTGGTCAAATCTTTTTGCAAGCAGACCAATTCAAGGAGAAAACTAATACTTATACTGCACAATAGGAGAGTCCTGATTGGTTGACAGTGGACTGTAAAGTAGTAGAGATGTTACCAAGCTGTTCCTTCCATGATATCCTGGTCCACTCCTTAGTTACCCCAAATTGTTCCTCCATTTCTTTCAGTACCTTATTATGCAAGACCAGAAGATGCAGCCACTGCTCCTCTTTCTGCTCCCATCTGACCACCCAAGGCCCCAAACACTCCTCAAGTTTAAACAGCAATTTATTTATGCTATCTCTATTGCTATTTATGCTATGCTATCCTTGTCAATTCTCTACCTTGGATCAAGTCTGACCTTTTAGTCCTTAGCCTGCCATACTGTTCCAATAAAGCTCAACTGAAGCATCAGGAACAGCAAAGATCATCTTTTTAAGGAATAATTTAAAGCTTTTTGGACTCAGTATTGAGTTTCACATTTTTGATTATAACCATTTTGCTTCTTTTTCCTTTGTTGGTTGGGCTCTCTCACTTGCTTTGCTTGCAGGAGGCAGTGATTTGGGATCCTGCCATTCATACCTTATCTAACACATCTCTTTGTCCGTTATCACTCCCTTTGAACTTGCCCCTTGAAGCCCTTGATCATTTAACTTCATTGCCTTCCTTCTATCACAGATCATCACTTTTGCAACCTTTCCCTGTCATTCCCCTTTCACTGGCTCAAACCTAATGTAGGCAATGGTAAGTGGACAAACTGATAGTTACAGTCATATTTTCAAAGTCATTTGGTTTTGGTCAAGGTTCACAGACCAGAAACAGTAAGTGTTTCTCTCACTAAAGATGCTGCCAGACAGGTGGGATGGAAGGTCATCTTGGGCATTCATTGAAAAAGGCTGTATATTATGCACAGCAACTGACATTCAATTCCATTGATTGTAATCTACCTGTATATCAGGAGCTGCTGATAAATTGCATCTGCCCCACTACTACCCATTCTGCAGAACCAGACAAAATAACTTGCTACCACGTATAAGTTGAACAACCAAATGTTGATCAGATGCAACATTCCTGAAGCAGAAGTTTAGGCTTCTTTGCCCACTTCCATTGAAGGCATGGAGTACTGCCGTGGATTATACAGTATTAGATTTCAGCATGGCTCAGGGACTGAGTGAGAGTTCCAGAGGAGAGATATCCCATAAACACAGGAGTGAAAGAGGCCATCTTGTCAGTCTGTCCCTCCAAACACTGTTTTGGGCGACAGCAACTAATAATCAGACACAGTGTCGAGCTGGAGGAACACAGCAGGCCAGGCAGCATCAGAGGAGTAGGAAAGTTGGTGATCCCGGTCAGGACCCTTCTTAATAATTTACCTGACCTCATGTTCTCCTCATTCAGAACAAGAGGGACTATTGGCAATTTCCCATGACCAAGGAGTCCCTTCTACCTGACAGTTCCCATAAAGTGGAATCACACAGTACTTTGAGCACAAAATTTGATTGCCTCAGAAAGCAGGTATAGGATTTGATGTATAATTAACCCTCCTCCATTCCTTCTGATGTAAAGATGGCATAAACTTTGTGCTGTCAACTCATTACCACATTGTAATGTACAAATAGTGCTAAACATGTTTCTGAGTGCTGTATGACTTAGCACAGACTAAACACTTGGAGCTTGTAGAACATAAAGCTGGTTGATCGCTTAAAGGAGAAGTACATGAACATAGGTTTAGGATTAGGCCATTGAGCCTGCTCCACAATTCAATTAGACCATCACTGCAATCGGCCTCAATGCCATTTTCGCAACTATCTTCATAATTCCTTGATTTCATTAGTTTTCATACGAACAAGGAATAAGAGATGGCCACTTAGCCGTTCAAGCCTAATCCACCATTCAATAAGATCACAGCTGACCTGATTTTTAACCTCAACTCTACATTCCTGCTGATCTCTGATAATCTTTTATCCCCTTGGTAATCAAGAATCTATCTGTGTTGTAAAAATATTTGAAGATTCTGTATCCACTGCCTTTTGAGGAAGGGCATTCTAAAGACACTCAACACTGAGAATTTATTTTCCTCATCTGTCTTAAATAGGAAACCAATTATCTTTAAACTATGACCCCTAGTTTTACATTCTCCAGCAAGAGGAAGCATCCTTTCCACATCTACCCAGTCAAATCCCCTCAGGACCTTATATGTTGCATCTAAGTCACTTCTGTCTTTCTGAATGCCAAAGGAAGCAGGTCTAGTCTGTCCAACATCTACTCATAAGGCAATCAGCTCCTTCCTGGATTAGTCTAGTAAACCCTCGCTGAACTGCTTCCAATGTATTGACATACTTCCATAAGTATGATGACCAGTACTGTATACAATACTCGAGATCTACACACTGTACAGAATACAGACCTGAGGGCTCCCTCATTCCTAGCAATCCTAATACATTTGGCTCCCTGTGTGCTGTATACGTTACTGGCCCAGACATCACTGATCACTTCATTTGCGTTATCATTTTTGGACACAGAGGCCAGGGAAATAATAGTGATGTTTGACCATGAAAGACAATGATGCCAGCAGAATGCATTGCCTCGTTCCTCTTGCTTCTATAGGCTGCAGGACGCCCTTAACACAGACATTAATTAATAGTACATAATATATGGACATTACATGAAATTAGGCATCATTTTACATTCAGGTCTGCACAGATTAATGTTTATGCAAACACGAGACTTTATGAAATAACTCTACATAGGCTGACATCCTGTCACCAAGTTACTCATTATTCATAGTACATGACACTGACCCAGCTAATATAGCTAGGTCCTAGAATGATCAGAACCTCTGATACTCCTGTTTATATCTGTCAGCCAGGGCTCCCTCATTGGAGCAGATTAACAGCCCCAATCAGGGAACTCATAGTCAATTAGATCCACCTGTCAGACATCGCTCCAATCACTACAATCCTCGCCTATTAAGTCCTGGGATGTAGGCCTGTTCTTTTTTCTGTGGCTTCTCCCGTGGCATTTTCGCAATAAGTCTACTTCCCCTGACTCTGGCCCAGAGGCTGCTTCTTGGCCAAAATTCTTCATCTACAGGCAGTAATACTATCAAGGTTGCAACATCCCCAGTGTCCATCCTATCTTCGGAGATTTCTTCGATGCTGCGGGGAGTGGGCCATGGGTTCTGACAGCCTTGCTGGATGTTCTGACGGGCCAGGTATGTTTTGCTCCTGCCCTGTTTGCAAGGTTGCAGCTTTCATGTGGCCCATGTGTTTGTTCAGGACCACCTCACTTACATAAACTTTGTATGTCACAGGACCGGACCTCACGTTGACCATGCGCACCAATTCAGAAAAAGAGTGCACCGCTGAATTTGACCTAAAGCTATGGGTGGCACAGCCCCGTCCTCTTTAAGTAGTCCTGGCAGGTGTTTGTGGTCCACTACTATTACAATTTTATGTCCATAAAGGTATTGGTGGAACTTCCTTACACCAAAGATGACTGCCAAACTTTTCTTCTCTATCTGAGCGCATCTTCATTTGGCATGAGCCAAAGTCTGAGAGGCATAAGTTATCAGGCATTCCTATCTACTGTGCCACCAGTGGGCCACTATACCCCCATACCGTAAAGGGAGGCATTAAATGTCAGCACAACATCTCACTTGGGATCGTAGTGTGCCAACATGATGACGATAACTGCTTCTTCACTTTCCTAAAGGCTACGTCTTGGCTACTACGAGACCATTTCCAAGGTTGACCCTTTTTCATTAGTGAATGTAAGGGTCCCAGGATCGAGGCCAGGTTATGTATGAATTATCTGCATAATTCACCAACCCAAGGAAAGACCTAAGCTCTGGTGCAGATGTGGGAGCCAGGGCACCTTTGTTCGCCTTCACTTTATCTCCCAACGGGTGTAATGGGGAAAAGAGAAGGAAAACCTAATGAGGGCACATAGGTGCAGGGCCAGTGAATATTTTTACAGATAAGTTGAATAGATTCTTGATTGACAACAAAGTCAAAGGATATAGGGAGTAGACAGCAAAATAGAAGCCAAAATCAGATCAGTTATGATCAAAGTGCAGAGAAGATTCAAGGGTTTAAACAGCTTACTTCTCCTCCTAAGCCATTCAGGCTGTGGTAGATATTCACTTTGCCACAGCCACACAGAGTCAAATTGTGCCATAGTATCAAAGGCAGTCACTCCCTCACCACATCTGGAATTCAACTCTTTTGCACGTGCCTGAATCAGTAATTGGTTTGCATGTTGATTGAAAGTTAAATATTGAACAGAATAGTGGAAATAACTCCCTTGCTTTTCTTCAAAATAGTGATTATTTTTTTCATTCCCACCTCAGAGGGTAATAATAGCCTTGTTATAATTGCTCATGCGAAATGCAGCACAGAACCCCCTCCGTACTGCACTCAAGTGTAAATCTTGATTTCTTTGTGCTCGTTACCTAGCCTGGAACATAAGCCTATATTCCTTGACTGAGAGGCATGAGGGTGACCAATTGAGTCATGGCTGACACTAAAACGCATTAACCAAGGTGTTTTCTAAATGCTAAAAGTAGTACACATCGAAACAGCTGTGGAGATCCAGGTGGACAGATCATCAGGCTATTGTGAACAGATACATTAAATAATTAAGAAGGCTAACACAATTCTGGCCTTTATACCCAGTGGCAAGAACACTGAGAAAGTAATCTTGCATGTAGACAAAGCCGTGTTTTAGGCTGCAGTGTGTGCAGTTCGGGGCACTTCATTTATTGAATGATATGTTAACCTTTGAGAGACTACAGTATGGATTTACTGGGTTGACCCCTGTTATTTTAAAAATTACTTTAACAGGAGAGTTTGCACACAATAATGTCCGTGTCTATGGAATTTAAATTGTTAAGGAGTAAATTGATTGAAGTTCTCAGGAAATTGAGAAAACAAATGGATAGATAGCAGATATTTTCAGTGTTGGAAACTAGACAAGAAGGCACACTTGAAAAGTTAGAACCAGAGGTTGGAACACTGTTCTGCAAATGACGACTGATTAATTGTTAATTGGACATTAATTGGCCTTTGGTCTCTGAAAGTATTAAAATATTCTTAGCAGTGGTGCTACATGGAATTTGTTTACAAATCAGCTATGGTGTACTTGAATGATGGAACAAACTTGAAGAGCTAAATTGCCTATTCCTACTCTTTGATTGTAGAACAATAGGAAAAGCTAAACATTTTCAGGTCATTACAACCACAGAATCTAGGTCAATATTCATTATGTGCATTAAATAGGAATCATGTATATCCATTCCTAATATGTAAAGCAGCACTGTAATTAGAAGTTAGTAACTTAATCAAATTATTTTTCTAGGTCACTTCATTGCAATGAAAGCAATAATGAAACAACTAATTTTAAGCATAAATATGAGCAATTAATTATTCTATTTTCCTTTTGTTAGATGTAAAGTATTTAATAAAATTAAGCTTATCTTTCCATTTTCCAGGTACATTGAGTTAGATAGAACTTACATAAAGTTAATAATTGATTTGTTAGCTTTATTAAATGTATATTCCATTACCTAGTATAAGAAAATAAATTGTTTCCTCTTTACATCTAAACTATTGAGCAGAAATAATGTTTAAGCAGTGCCATTTAATTGGGGCAAAGGAGAACCTCAGTGCTATCCACATGGTTTCCTCAATGTTTTCGGGAGAACTATTATCTGTGACCATGGAATCAATGTAAATTGTTGTGGCACACTTGAATTGGCACTACATAAACTCATGGCTCTATCACAGATTATTGAAAATGCTTTAATTACATCATTTTTTTCACCAGTTTGTCAGACTATGAACAATGAAACTCAGTGCATGTGCGAGTGTGGATTTACTTGGAACTCAGCGTTTTGTACAAAATACCAGTCTTGCTGTGGGAGTGTCATAAAGGGACAGAACTGTGACTGCATCAGAGGTGAACCAACAGAAGGGACATACTGTGAGTCCACATCCGTAATGACAATCCCCACACCAAGCGCTGTGTCCACAGCAACAACGATGTCAGCAGCAACAACGACATCAGCAGCAACAACAACAATGACCATGCAAAGTAACTTAGGTATACTGAACAAACATTGTTTTTCCTTTTACTAACAATAAATTACACTTGTTGACTGTGACAAAATTAAATTGATCATGTACTTGCAGGAAAGAAAAGATTGAAAGCTGACATTTAGTGCTGAGTATTGACCATTGAAAGATACATTTAATTGAATTAGTGGCATCATAATTCTCAATTTACTGAATATTTGGGTTTTGTTGGGTAGTGGATTCTCCGACTTGTTTGTCCAAACCTTATTTCAGGATTTTCAGAAACCTGGAAATAAACTTCATTCAAACAATTTTCCACAAGTTAGTAGGCAAGGAGGAGCCTCGACATTTCAGTTTTATGGTTATTGAGTGAAGTCCAGCCTTTGTATTCGACCTACTTAGTCTGTTTGTGGGATAGTTCGCACACCAAGCCTTTCAATTCGGGAAGGTAGCTGTTAAAGAAGAACCCATCAAGGTGGGATAATGAGGATGCTGGGTTAGGACAGAGATCTCTTGCTTGGAATTTCCTGTGTTTGTCCAGAGAAGGCCAATGAGAGATTAGTGGCAACAGAATGGGAAAATGCGACATACCAGCCTCAGGAATGGTGATCATTTTATCTTCTCAACAATTAAACACTAAAGAAAAGAAGAAACCTGGTACATTTGATATGACATTTGAGAAATCCATAAGAAAAATAGTGACCTTCAGTTTTGCATAGGATTTAGACTGTATAATTTTTTTAAATGATGGTGGGTCTTTCTGGAAGTGAATACAGGCTGTACCTCCAGGTTGTACTGACTTCAGGGCCCTTGCCAGACTGGAAAAGTTGCAACACCATTTGAGGTCACACGGGAGTTTTCTGTGTCTGTGTCAGGGCCACGCAGATGTGGCGATCTCTTTCTCCAGAGCGTGGTGAAAGCAGGGTCATTGAATAGGTTTGAGGTCCAGTTGGATTGTTTCTTGACTAACAGGGACGTAAGAGGGTACAGGATGTGTGTTACTTGCCATTAAACTACTGGCCACTACAGGAAGAAGTTAGTCAGCACAGAATTTCTGACTTCCTACCTTCTCTTGTAGGTAAAGTATTTATATGGTTAGTCCAGTTCAGCTTCTGTAGAATGGTAACCTAATCCCCCTATCCGAATATTGATAGTGGGAGATTCAATGACGGTAACACTATTTAATATCAAGGGAAGTTTGTTAGATTTGCCCTTGTTGGAGATGGTTATTGCTTGGCACTTGTGTGGCACAAATGATACATACCCAACCTGACCAACCTTTCCTCATACAATAACACCCTCACCCTAGAAAACAGTTGAGTGAACCTTCTCTGAACTGTTTCTAAATCCTTAAATAAGGCAATCAAAGCTGTACGTAGCAGTCTAAATTTAGTGGCATTTATTTGGCAAACGTAACAAAACATCCCTAATATCATATTCCATTCTCCTTGCAATAAAATATTACATTCCATTTGCCTTTCTAATCACTTGCGGTGACTCAGTATAAATGTTTGTGATTCACATACAGTACACCTAAATCCCTCTGTGACTTAGTGTTCTGCAATCATCCAATGCTTTTCTATTTTTCCTACCAAAGAGGACAATTTCACAAGTTCTCCTATTATACTCCAACTGCCAATCCTATGTCCATTCACTTAATCTGATTTCGATAGGCTCTTCACAACTTAGTTTCCAACCTACCTTTGTGTCAATGCAAACTTAGTGAACTTTCACTCAATCACTTTGTCCAAATCATTTATATACCTGGGATACCAACACTGATCCCTGTGAGAGTCCACTAATCACATTTTCCAAGACAAAATTGATCCATTTGTGATTACTGGGTTGTTTCCTGTTAGCTATGCAATCCATGATCTGTCTTAATATGTTACCCCTATTCTATGAGCAATTATTTCATGTAGTAGGACTTGATGTAGCACATTGTAATCAGTAGAGCCATCAATCAGCACCTACTGAGAAATAATCTGCTTAGTGACACCCAGTTTGGGTTCTGCCAGGGGCCACTCAGCTCCTGACCTCATTACAGCCTTGGTTCAAATGCAGATTGCAGAGGTGAGGTGAGAGTGACAGCCCTTGACATCAAGGCTGCATTTGACCAAGTGCAGCATCAAGGAGTAGGCACCTGGAACATCTTCCACTCCCTTCCCCTCTCTGCCTTCCGCAAGGACCATTTCCTTTGCCGCTCCTTAGTTCCCGCCACATTCCCCACCAACCACTCCAACCTGCCCGGTACCTTACCCTGTAACCATAAAAGATGCAACACCTGCCCACACACCACCTTCCTCACCTCCATTCAGCCCTTCAAGTGAGACAGAGCTTCACCTGCATCTCCTCCAACCTAGTCACGGCACGGTGGCTCAGTGATTAGCACTGCTGCCTCGCTGCACCAGCAACCCCGGTTCGATTCTACTCTCAGGCAACTGTCTGTGTGGCGTTTGCACATTCTCCCTGTGTCTGCGTGGGTTTCCTCTGGTGCTCTGGTTTCCTCCCATAATCCAAAGATGTGCAGGCTAGGTGGATTGGCCAGGCTAAATTGCCCATAGTGTCTGGGTGGGTTACTCTGAGGGTTGGTTTGGACAGTCAATGTCAGTGTGGTGTGTGAAGGAGCACTGTAGCTTTATAGAACTTTAGTTAGGCTACACTTGCAATTTTTGTACAGTTCTAGTCACCACACTATATAAGTATATGGATGCTTTGGAGAGGGTACAGAAAAGGTTTACCAGGATGTTACCCAGTGTGGGGGATTTTAGCCAAGAAGAAAAGTTCGATAGACTGGGTTTGTTTTCACTGGAATGTAGGAGGTTGAGGGGCAACCTGACAGAGGTTTATAAGATTGTGAATGGCATGGATAGATTGGAAAGTATGAGGCTTGTGCTAATAAATGCCACTCTGATCATTGACACCCCTTGCCATGAAAACAATAATAAAAGGGCAAGATTCAGGCTTGAGATTCCATAATATAATCACAGGAACAGTTTGTCACAAAGCACTACGGAGCTGTTGGGTGGGAGTTTTGACAAATTGTACATCACATCATGTGGGTGTTATGCTCCCAAAGCTTACAAGAGAGGTCCATGGGTGAGGAAAGAACCTGTGTGATGAGTGGACGGAGATTGTGAAAGGTACATTTGCACATGTATTGGGGCAGAGTAAGTGGATGGCTTGGAGATTAGTTTTAGGTATTGGAGAGCTGCAGGGGGTGCGATGCTGAGAGTGGCCAGCACCAAGAAAGCTTATCTGCACTGTCTGAAGGAAAAATACTGTTTGGCTGGAGCTGTTGGTGAGATTCAAGCAAGAAGGAAGGATGCTATTAAGCCGGAGAGGGTTCAGAAAAGACTTACCAGGATGTTGCCGGGAATGGAGGGTTTAGTTTATAAGGAGAAGCTGGATAGACTGGGACATTTTTCACTGTAACGTAGGAGGTTGAGAAGTGACCTTATAGAGGTTTATAAAGTCATGAGGGATATAGATAAGGTGAATGGTAGGTGTCTTTTCCCTAGGGTAGAGGATTTCAAGACTAGGGGGCATATTTTTAAGGTGAGAGGAGAAAGATTTGAAAAAAGATGTGGAGCAATTTTTTTACACATTGAATGAACTTTGGAGGGAGTGGCGGATGCAGATACAGTTACGACATTTAAAAGACATTTGGATAAGTACATGAATAAGAACTGTTTGGAGGGATATGGGCCAAGTGTATGCAAGTGGGACACGTTTAATTTGGAATCATGGTCAACATAGACTGGTTGAACCGAAGGGTCTGTTTCCATGCTGTACAACTCTATGACTCTATTAGTGAATCTAATCTGCAACGCAATGAATAATAGCACATAATTGGAGAAAAGGGGCTCCAACGTTTTAGACACTGCACTGAATCACTTGATAAAGAAGAATCAGAAAGGAGGAAATATGTTTTGCATCCACAGCCGGGCAAAGACCTCACTGATACACATCAATGGCTTGCCTATTTGGATAGTTCTGGTGACCTTTCACTTTAAATTTCACAGCTAACCAATATGACATCCTAATATTGCTCAACCTGGTTTGCAAAAGTATAGCAGCCATCCGCTTGGAGCTCTAAGGGCACTGATTGTTCCCAGTAGTTGGGTGCAAGTGATCCTGATTTTACACCAAACAGATATTAAAAATTAGTCTGATTCTTTTTGTTTCATATGCATATTATTACATTTTTGCTAATCCATGAAAGTCTCTATCTTATATGTAATTCTTTTGAAAACAATTTTCTCAATTATTTGAGAGATATTGGATTATAGTGCGACCATAATATGTTAGTAAAACAAAGTACCTTAAAGCAAACAATTACATTTATTTATAATTGATACTTTCTTTGTATAAGGAGAAAACTTCGCATTCAGAATTGTCGACCTGAGCTACACAGATGAACTAAGCAATGCCTCCTCAAACTTGTTTAAAAGCCACACAAAAATATTCCAGGGGTTGGTATGTAACTGAATGAATTGCATTACAAATTTAAAAAGTATATTTTTCAACTGTGTGCTAAAGGTGGGTAACCTTATCTTTCAGGAATGAATAACAGAAAATCTGGTTGAAGACCGTGCTGGTATCTTGAAGTGATAACATTAATGTAGATCTTAAACAAAAATCAAAAGATCATTAAATGGGAAAGATGTAGTTCTGTCATTGTACAATATCTAATCTTTCTGAGATAAGTAAAATTTGGCTTCGTATCTAGTCTTGAATACTAGGGTAATTGAAACTTCTTGCAACAATGTATTTTGAGGGAATCAGGTGGTTCATTCACGAATTTTAATTTCCCATTTCCCATTTTAAATATTACTAGGAAAAATGTTACAACAAATTTCTGGCATATGACAATGTGATACAGATTTACAGTGATTTTAAAATAATATTTAAATAAAACAATATATATTTTAACTATACCAATGAACCTGACTTGCTACCTTGGAAGGTTCACATTAAATGTTCTGCATCCTTTGGTTTAAGCATAAACTGCCCAGATCCTTGTTGTTTTATTTACCCATCATATCTTTCCTGTTTTGATTCAGTCATGAATATAATGGGTAATTGAATCATGTGAGAGAATCTGTTCCAATCCAGAGTTAATTTATTTTTTAATTGGTGGTAAATTTTTCTTGCAATGATTCCTCCTGTGGCTATTCTCTTTTGATTATCTGGTGCAAGTTTTCATTGGCTGTCATAGGGGTACATTACAAAAGTTCTTTTTTTTTACTGAACAAGTAATCCAGAGGCTGGACCAATGATTAGGCAACAGCCATACAAACTGCACTGCAGCTGTTGGGAAATTCAAATTCATTTAATTAAATAAAAATCCAGTATAAAACAATTGTACCAACAAAGATAACCATGAAACTGTCTCAAGAAATCTGGTTCTGTAATATGCTTTAATGTTGAAAATCATTGTACTCACTCATCCAGTTGACATTTGACTCCAAACCCATGTCCCTCTAAACTTTTTTATCCAGGTATCTGTCCAAATGTCTTTTAAATATTGCAATTGTACTTGCCTCTACCATTTCTTCTGGCAGCTTGTTCCATATGTGCACCACCGTCTGTTTTTAAAATGTTGCCCATCAGATCCCTTTTAAATCTTTCCTCTCTTGCCTTAAATCTGTGCCGTCTAGGTTTGGTCTCCCCTACCCTGGGGAAAAGACTTTGGCTATTAACCTTGTCTATGCCCCTTATGATTTCATAAGCCTCTGTAAGGTCATCCCTCAATCTCCAACACTCCAGGGAAAATAGTCCAAGCTTATCCAGCATCTGCTTATAACTCAAACCTTCTAGTCATGGGAACAACCTTGTAAATCATTTCTGCACACTTTCCAGTTTAACAATATCCTTCCTATAGCAAGGCAACCAGAATTGTATGCAGTATTCCAAATGGGGCCTCACCAATGTTTTGTACAGCCACAACATGACATCCCAACTGCACTCGGTGCTCTGACCAATAAAGAGAAATGTGCCAAATGCCTTCTTCATCACCCTGTCTACCAGTGACATGAAGAACTATCTACCTGCACCCCGGTCTCTCTCTGTTCAACAACACTCCCCAGGGAATCCTTTCCTAGTTTGTCTTACCAAAATGCAATACCTTGCATTTATCTGAATTAAACTCCATCTGCCATTCCTTGGCCCAGTTGATCAAGGTCCCATTCTACTTTTGGATAACCTTCTTCACTGTATGCTGTACCACTAATTTTGGTGTCATTCACAAACTTACTAACCATGCCCCCTATATTCTCATCCAAATCATTTACATAAATAAACAACTGTGGACCCAACACCAATCTTTACAGCACACCACTTGTCACAGGCCTCCATTCTGAACAACAACCCTCTCCCATCACCCTCTGTCTTCTATGAGCAAGCCAGTTTTGTATCCAATTGGCTAGCTTTCCCTGGATTCCATGTGATTTAACCTTACTAACCAGCCTACCATGCAGAACCTTGTTGAAGGCCTTGCTAAAGGTCATGAAGACAACATTAATCACTCTGCCTTTACCTGTCTTCGTTACCACTTCAAAAATCTCAATCAAATTTGTGTGACATGATATATCACGCACAAAGCCATGCGGACTATCCCTAATCATTCCCTGCCTTTCCAAATGCATGTAGATCCTGTATCTCAGAATCGCCTCCCACAACTTACCCACCACTGACATAGTTGACTCCTAACCACTCTGCAAAATTGCTCAGTCAACTGCTAAACTGTATTCAAGAAGACTTTCTCAGCGACAATTAATTGGCTTTGTCAATGATATAGATGTCCGGCAAATACAAAATAAATTGGCATTAAATGATTTCCATATCAATGTTTTTTCAAGAGAAATGCTCAGTAAGCTTCGCCTGAGCTTTAAGCAATGTCTCAGCAACTCTTCTTAGCCAGTACTTTCCTGTGGATAATGTGTATTTATCAGCCAAAGTGATATAAGTCTGAAATCAGTTCAAAATGTGTTAATTGGTTGATTCTTAAGAGCCTGGTAATGATGCTGTGTTTCGAGATCAGAGAAATTTGTAGCTTTATGAAGTTTCATTGAACATGATAGGCAGATTTAAAACACTAAATCTCATTGAGATGCCATGAAAGGAGTGTGTGCTATTAATAGTGAACTGTTGACCCATAATTTGCTATCAGAATAGAAGTGATGCTAGTGACATTTAAGTAATACAACTCCTTCACATAGGAACAGTGGATGGTTAAGCTCAAGTATCCAAAGGTGGTTGTCTGAGATCCTCTGCTGCACTCTTGGCTTTCAAAATACAGCAATTCGCCATTTGAATATTAATATTCATTGAATAAAGGTCCATTGAAGTAGCAACTAACCACATCACAGACAATTAAGTATTGTTTACTTTAGCCTAATTACTATTTTAACAACATGACAAATGTTAATTATGACTAATCAACCTTTCAGGCAATGAAAATTAGCTGTTGTGAGGGGGAGGCAATGGCATGTTAATCTGGAGACCCAGATAATGTTCTGGTGACTATTGTTCAAATCCCTCCAGGTTGAAATTTGAATTCAGTAAAAATGTGGAATTAGGAGTCAAATGATGACTATGACTCAATTGCTGATTGTTGTTTGGGGTGGAGAAAACCCATCTCATTCACTAATATCTTTAGTGAAGGAAACTGCCATCCTTACCTGATCTGTGACAGCAATGTGGATGGCCCCTAACTGTCCCCAGGTACATGGGATAGGCCTTATCCAGTGACGTCCTCATCCCATGAATGAATAAAAAGAAAAGTAGAGTCTTATTGCATCAGATTTTAATTGATGGTGAAGATTTTAAGAAGGTGAAGTTTTATTTTCTCTATTGCAGATGCTTGGTTTCCCCAACTGAAGTGTTAGTAAACCAAATTTACAGTTAAAACACTAAACATGCAGTGATAAACCTATTGAATTGCAGACATTAGACAGCTTCCCATAACAAAATATGTCATTATATTGTTGAGTACAAATATGAAAGTATTTTACCCATGCATTCCCTTATAATATAACCATATTCCCATGTGCTGTTTATATTTTTTTGAACATTATCTTTCTAATCAACTTCTATGCATTTCTGCAGCTGCAAAATGTCTATGGAAATGTGCAACGTGATGCTATAGTGAACATTCTAGGATTCACGTAAGTAATAAACTTTAATAAGATATATTTTAATAGTCACATTTTACATTAAGGTCTAACATCAAGGTTATAGAGTCGAATCTGGAAACTACACACATTAATGAATAGAAACATTTGTACTTTGTTTTTGATACTTGATGATACATTTTCAGTATCATTGCTATTGTTGGGATCCCAAATATCTGCTCTGCAATTTGAAAAATAGGATGATTTTAAAGCTGCTAATGAAGAGCTCACACTTTTGACAGTGTTTTTTGGATTCTCCAGTCCATGAACATACAAGTCATAATACTCTGTCAATCCCAGGGAGGGTCAATGACCAATATCTGAGATGGCTGCATTCTGTTACTAAGGTAAAGCATGGTTCACTGGAAATCAACATGGTACCAGGTGACATTAGAATCTGATTTAGCAGTTCTCAATAGAGGGTGTTTTTAAAAATTTTTTCCTTGGATGTGAGCAATGCTGGCTAGACCAGCACTTATTGCCATTATTGTCTATGTGGGGAAGGAACAGCAACTGCGCTGTTGGGAAGAGAATTCCAGGATTTTGATCCAGTGACACTGAATGAACAGCAATATCGTTCCAAATCAGGGTGATGTGTATCATGGAGGGGAACTTGCACTTCCATCTGCTACCCTTGTCTTTTGAGGTCATGAACTTGGAAGGTGCTGATAGAGGACACTTAACTAGTTGCTGCTGTGCTATATCTGTACGCATGGCTCCATTGTACATCAGTAGTGGAGGGAGTACATCGTCGATGGGGTGCCAGTCAAACAGATTGCTTTGTTCTGATGGTATCAAACTCATAAGTGTTGTTGGAGTTGCACACATTGAAGTAAGTGGACAGTATTCAATCAATTTTCTGATGAAGGGTCTAGGCCCGAAACGTCAGCCTCTCTGCTCCTACGATGCTGCTTGGCCTGCTGTGTTCATCCAGCCCTGCACCTTGTTGTCTCGGATTCTCCAGCATCTGCAGTTCCTACTATCTCTAGTATTCAATCACACTCCTGACGTGTGCTTTGTAGATGATGATAAGCTTTGTGGAGTCAGAACATGTGTTAATCATTATACAATGTCCTAGCTGCTGACTTGCTGTTATAACCACAGTATTTATATGGCTGTTATAGTTCAGCTTCTAATCAATAACGACCCCCATGTAATGGACGTGGAAAATATCTGTGTTAATCTTGTACCATGACCCAGAGGGAAAAGGAAAGGAGAGATTCTCTCACTTGTTCAGGATGATGAGATTCATGGTGTCATATAACTTGATTAATAAGATTGTTGCCTTTATTAATGCCAGGACAATGGAAGGAATAATGTACCAATCTCATGGCTTTTTCTGAACCCATGTGATCCTGTCTAGCCTGTCTTCATGTAGAGCTTGTGGACATTTCATTTGCTTGCCTTTTAAAGTTATGTTAAGGATTGGGGAAGGGGAAGAACAATGCAAAAGGCCCAGAAAAATATGTACCAGGGCCCATAATTTTACTCCTTGGCCTTATGTTCTAGCCATTGACACTTTGGTGGAAGATTCAGTCTGGTCAGTATCCAGTTTCACATTTTGAGGACTGTTGAGGAAAATACAGCCTTTATTTTTGTGCTATTTCAAACTGCACAAAATAAAGGAAGCACTTACTATTGATTTGAGCCTTCATTACATCTTCAGTTGATTACTTAATTCCCTTGTCTTGTCTGTAATAATTTAGCAATGGAAGTGTAATCGTACTCCATCGAGTAACCTCTGAAGAGTCTTTAACTAAAAATATTGAGAAAATTGGAGAAAATGTGAAAAATGCTTTTTCTCCAAAATACACAATTGAGTGGTTACAGGGTAAATAGTCTTTTGAAGAATAAAATAATTTTGCCATTCAGAATTGGAAGTTATAAATGTATGAAAATGGAATGCTTAATACTTAACAAGGTTTACCAGGCTGATTCCAGGGATGGCGGGTCTGAAGTATCAGGAGAGATTGACTCGGTTAGGATTGTTTTCGCTAGAGTTCAGATGAATGAGGGGGATCTCATAGAGACTTAAATAATTCTAACAGGACTGGACAGCGTAGATGCAGGGAGGATGTTCCTGATGGTGGGTGTGTCCAGAATTAGGGGTCACAGTCTGAGGATTCGCGGTAGATGATTTAGGACAGAGATGAGGAGACATTTCTTCACCCAAAAAGTGGTGAGCCTGTTGAATTCATTACCACAGGAAGAAGTTGATGCCAAAACACTGAATGCATTAAAGAGGTGACTAGATATAGCACTTGGGGCGAATGCGATAAGAAGTTATGGGGAGAAAGGATTAGGCAGGATTAGGCTAATGAGTTGGACCATCAGCCATGATCGTGAAGAATGGTGGAGCAGGCTCGAAGGGCCGAATGGCCTCCTCCTGCTCCTATCTGATATGTTTCTAAATAGGTGTTAGTATTTGTATTGTTGGATATTAAAGCACTTTAGGCAGTTTATGTATTAATAAATATTTATAAGTAATTCAATTATTTAGGATGCAGCATAGCTTGAGTCATTGGTTTTCATTGCATGTTGAATAAGAGAAATCAAGCTCCTGTTATCTAGAAATTTTGGGAGAAGAAAGATTGAGAAAATTAACCCAAATAAGTTTCAAATTACAATAAACTGTCAGACGTTGTTAGAACATCAAAAGCATCTGTACCTTCTTTAATAATTTGATAATTTATAACATTGTCATTGTGTGTCCTTGGAGAAGAAGGATCTGTAGGAACAGTTCCAATTTGCGGTTCAGCTGGAATGCACATGTTTTGGAGCTCAGTGACTAATATTAAAACATCCTTGTTAGATAACGGGAAAGAAACTTTAAATTGGTGGTGCAAAGGGCCAGGTTTGGAAAGATAGAAGTTAAGAAAAGAATACTTACCGTTTATGAGCATCACTGTCATAGTGAGTGCACACCACGAAGCATAGCCACAGTAGTAATATCCAGCGCCATAGTTTATACTAATAGTACAGTATCAGAACATCAAGGGGCAGATTTAATGTGACAAAAGGGCAACCTAAAGATGAAGAAGACAGTCTTACAGAAGAAGATAGTTGGAAGACTTCTGAGTCTATGATCGGAATGAAACATTATCATTAAGTTGTCCTATCAAAATCATAATTTAAATTAAGCCAGCAGCCACAAAGCTGAATTTGGGAAACTGTGGAGGGCTATGTACATTATGTATTGGGTTGTGAAGGCAGGAAGTCCTTAAATTTGTCGGCAATAAAAAGTAGAAAACTTTGTAGTGTCATAGAATGCAGAAAGGTCTCAATTTTAACTATGGAAGGTGAGAAACCACTATTTTGACCAAAATAAGGTGAGAAGACACCCCAGTAAGCAGTACAGAGAAGCATTGTTATTTAACTAAATTTAAAACTCTTTTTAAAAAAAATAGCATTAATATAATATTGTGTAGTGTTTCAAAATAAGAAATACAATATGTTGCACAGTTTATGAACATACATAACAAAGAAAATAAAACAGTATTGTTGTTTACAGAAGTAGAAGTCTTCCTGAGAAATAACTTAAATAGCATTAATTTACCGCAGGATTAATAGTTTTAATCCAGAAGTACAGTAGTGTTTAGGTATTGTGGAATCTTGTCAAAGGTTTTACTAAAGTCCAAGTAAACACCGTCTACTGCTCTGCTCTTAATCAATTTGGTAACTTCCCCAAAAAACCCAATCAAGTTTGTGAGACATGAGTTTCCTCACACAAAACCATGCTGATTATCCCTAATCCATTTTTGCCTCTCTAAATGTCCTGCAGATGTTGAAATCCTGAGGCAACATCAAGATTGTGAATTTAAATCACATGGATCCTACTCATTTGTAAATCGAGCACTTTGAGTCCTCCTCACAACTTGATTTCCCACCTATTTTGCATCAACACTTAATCCCTTACAGTGGACTTTGTCTCTTCATCAGTCATTAATATAGATTGTAAATAGATAAAGCACCAACTACGATTTAAGTAGCACTTGTGCCATGTTGGTTTATCAACATGAAAATGACTCTTATTCTTACTCTCTTTTCTAATTAGTCAATCCTCTTTGAATACTGATCTATAACCTCCAACATCATTAACTTTTATTTTGTGTAGAAACACTTTACATACCATGCCAAATACATTAGTGCTATTAGCTCCTCTCTATCTACCGTGCTTGTTATATCCTCAAAAAACTAATGAATTAATCAAAGCTTTCTCTTTCATAAAACCATAATTCCTATGCTTACTTGTAGTATGATTTTCTAAATTCCTGCTACCATTTCTACAACAATGGATTCCAGCATTTTCCCAATGATGTTGGCTAATTGGCCTGTAATTTCTGGTTTTTGATTCTCTTTTATACTGTTTTGTAATCTGCTGCATCCTTTCCAGGGTCTATGAAGTTTTGCAAGGTTATAACTGACATACTGTTATTTCTACAGCCACTTCTTTTAAGGCCATATGATGCAGGACATCTGATCTACTACGTTTTTCTACAGTTATAAAAGCACTTATTGTCAGTTTTTATGTATCTTGCCTGTTTAGTATAACTTCTCCCTCTTTTGAAGTCATTCTTTGCTGGTTTCTAAAATTTTCCCAAAAATTTTACCATTAGTGTTTGCAGCATTATACACTTTCTCTTTCAAACTGATACCAGCCATAATTTCTGTGATTACCCAGGAATGATATATCCTTCTTTTAGAGTCGTTCTTTCTCAATAATCAAAAGCTTTCAAATGTCTAGCACTGCTTATCTTCCATAATATCTTTGCCTATTTTCCAGCTTACTTTTGCCAGTTCCGTTTTAATACTTTTATAATTATCTGAATTTATGTACTACAAACTGGATTCATTCCTAACTTTTCATTTTCAAAGTGCATGTAAAGTTCTCTCATGTTGTGGGTCCCTCTCCCCTAGAAAATCTTTTGTTTGTAAGATTATTCATTAATCCTATTCCCTCATTGCATGTGACTACATCTAAAATAGTCTGATTGTTTTAAGAACATCATATTTAAACAAATTCACCAAAATGTAATATGTCTCAAGGCTAAATTTGCCAATTTAATTCACCCCCAATCTAAGTCAAGTTTAAAATTGCTTTAAGTTATTTCAAAGCCTTTCTTAGAAGCCTCCAATTGTCTTGTGATTTATACCTTGTCCCATTGTGTAGCTATTGTTAGGAAACCTGGTAACTACATCCATCACTGAATTATGTTCTTTTATATTAAAATCAATCCTTTCCTTAGAACTGAGGAAGGATCACTGGACCCAAAACATTAACTCTGATTTCTCTTCACAGATGCTGCCAGACCTGCTGAGCTTTTCTGTTTTTGTTTTTGATTTCCAAGATCTGCAGTTCTTTTGGTTTTTAAAAATTATCCCTGTCTGTTTTAATTACTGGCTTCACCTACCGACTCCTGTAAGATGGAATTAATTATTTCTGAATTGCTTTCATTTTTTCCTTTTTTATCTTTCATTAATTTCAATACATCCTTGTTAGAAATAAACAATTTGATGGTTATATAATACCTGTTGACAGAAATAATTGACGTTTCTTCTTTACTTCCAAACATATTTCACTCCATAGAACGTAGAACATAAAACAGTACAGCACAATGTTGTGCCGAACTTTTACCCAAAACCTAAGGTCTATCTAACCTCCACCGCTACCTTATACTATCATCCATATGCCTATTTAATAGCCACTTAAATGCCCCTAATGAGGCCGACTCCACTACCCTCTCCGGCAATGCATTCCACACCCCTACCACTCTCTGAGTAAAGAACCTACCTCTGACGTCTCCCCAATATCTACCTCCTTTCACTTTAAAACTATGTCCCCTTGTAAAAGCTACCTCCACCCTAGGAAAAAGTCTCTGGCTGTTTATCTATACCTCTGATCATTTTGTACACCTCTATCAAGTCACCTCTCATCCTTCGTCATTCTAAAGAGAAAAGCCCTAGCGCTCTCAACTTTCCTCGTAAGACCTTCCCTCCATTCCAGGCAACATCCTGGTAAATCTCCTCTGCACCTTTTCCAACACTTCCACATCTTTCCTGTAATGAGGTGACCAGAACTGGACACAATACTCCAGATGTGGCCGAACCAGGCTTTTGTATAGCTGGAGCATAACTTCATGGCTCTTGAACTCAGTCCCTCTATTAATGAAAGCTAACACACCATACGCCTTCTTAACAACTCTATCCACCTGGGTGGCAGCATTCAGGGAACTGTGAACATGAACCCCAAGATCCTTCTGCTCCTCCACACTGCCAAGAATCTTTCCGTTAACCCTGTATTCTTCTTCCAAGTTTGTCCTTCCAAAATGAATCACCTCACACTTTCAGGGTTAAACTTCATCTGCCACTTCTCAGCCCAGCTCTGCATTCTATCAATGTCCCTTTGTAACCTAGAACAGCCCTCCGCACTGTCCACAACGTGACCCACCTTCGTATCGTCCGCGAACTTGCTAATCCACCCTTCCACTCCTTCATCCAAATCATTTACAAAAATCACAAACAGAAGAGGACCCAGAACAGATCCTTGTGGTACACCACTCATAACTGAGCACCACGTTGAATATTTTCCGTCCACTACCACCCTTTGTCTTCTAAGGGTCAGCCAATTCTGAATCCAATCTGCCACATTTTCCCCTATCCCATGCCTCCTTACCTTCTGCATGAGCCTACCATGGGGAACCTTATCAAACGCCTTACTTAAATCCATGTATACCACATCCACTGCTCCACCTTCATCCATGTGTTTGGTCACCTCTTCAAAGAATTCAATAAGGTTTGTGAGGCATGATGTACCCCATGATGACTATCACGAATCAAACTGTGCCTTTCCAAGTGATCATAAATCCTGTCTCTCAGAGCCCTTTCCAATAATTTGCCCACCACTGAAGTAAGACTAACTGGTCTGTAATTTCCGGGGTTATCCCTGTTCTCTTTTTTGAACAAGGGAATGACGTTTGCCTCTTTCCAATTTTCCAGCACTATACCCGTGGACAGTGAGGACGAAAAGATCATCGCCAAAGGCCCTGTGATCTCGTCCCTCGCTTCCCATAGAATCCTTGGATAAATCCCATCAGGCCCGGGGGACTTATCTATCTTCAACTTCCTCAGAATTCGTAGCACATCATCTTTACTCACATCAACCTCCTCTAGCCTACCTGCCTGTTTCACAACATCCTCCTCTACAACTAGGTCCCTCTCAGTTGTGAATACTGTAGAAAAGTATTCATTAAGGACCTCTCCTATCTCTTTAGGCTCTGTGCACAAATTCCCTTTACAATCCTTGATCGGCCCTACCCTTTCTCTGGTCATTCTCTTGTTCTGCACATATATGTAAAAAGCCTTGGAGTTTTCCTTCGCCGAACTCGTCCTCACCCTCAACAACTTCTCTTTAAATTCCTCCCACTTCCTACAGACAAAGGGGGTGGCCGTGGGTACCCACATGGGCCCAAGGTTTTCTCATGCCCCCTTATAGCTCTCCTAAGCCCTTTCTTCAGCTCCTTCCTGGCTAACTTGTATCCCTCTTGAGCCTTTTCCGTTCCTCTTTTCCTAAACCTTATATAAGCCTCCTTCTTCCTCTTAACCAGTCGTTCGACCTCTCTTGAGAACCACGGCTCCCTCACTCGACCGCATCTTCTCTGTCTGCTAGGGACAAACATATCGAGCACATGCAGTATACATTCCTTTAACAATCTCCACATTTCTGTGGTGCTCTTCCTTGACAGCATCTGTTCCCATTTTATGTTACCCAGTTCTTGCCTAACTGAATTGTAATTACCTTTCTCCCAATTATAAACTTTACCCTGCTGTATGTACCTATCCTTATCAATGACTATTGTGAAAGAAACAGAGTTATGATCACTACCGCCAAAATGCTCTCCTACCAACAGGTCTAACACTTGGCCTGGTTCGTTGCCAAGCACCAAATCCAAAGTGGCCTCTCCTTGTATTGGTCTATCTACATATGTTATACATTTATAGGTCAATAATCAACTATGTGCAGAATAGATGAGTAGAGTAGTTTAAAGGAACAGTAAGAACTAAATGAGATTTTCTGAAGATGGCTCCCGACCCGAAACGTCGACTTTTCTGTTCCTCTGATGCTGCCTGGCCTGCTGTGTTCCTCCAGCTTCACACTGTGTTATCTAAGAACTAAATGATGTAGTGTTTCAGAATAAAAAGACTGAGTATTACTTTCTTTAAACAGATGATGAAATACCATGCTTTCATGAAAATTACGGCATAACAAATTACAATACCTTCGCAGAAATCCCCTGTGAAAGTAAGCCAGGGGTCTTGAAAATCAGATGTGGAAAGAATGGAACAAATGAACAGGAATATGCTTTTTGTATATCGGAAGAAATCAACAAAATTCTTGAGGTATGAATTACAAAGATAGAAATTAAAGTAAGCGCTGTTATAGTAAAATATGCTCACACTATTTTTTTTGTTTAGTTTAACAACGTTTCTAGCTAGTTTAAACCTACGGATGAGAATTTATACTTGTTTGGTAGACCTGAAGGTATAGAATTCATATAGATACTGAAGTTAAAGTATCTAATACTTAGCATCTCAAAGCATTGGAGAAGTACCAGTAGCTGTGCCTTTGGATGATCTTCCAAAGCCAGTGAAAAGAATGTTGGTCCTCTCCCAAGCCAGCATGCCCAGCATTGAAGTAATAATTACTCAAAATCTAGTATGCCTGGCCAGACGTGTGGTTTATTTGGCCAACACCAGGCTGCAGATGCAACTGGTATAATTGGAATTCAGTTAAGGCATGGGGGAAAATGGAAACCCTTGGGAGATTTATTCAACACATCCCCTAAGAAGCCAAAGTTTCCCATTGACTAATGAGAATCCAAGGCTTGTCACAGACCAAAATGGAGAAGGTTTATTGAGAAGGCACCAAATATACTGAGAGACTTCATCAGAAACATTCAAAAGATAAGTCAAAGCATCAGAAAGAGCATACAAATCCCCCAACAACTCAGCTATTCAACCCTAAAAGCACCAGCTGCAACCCATAATGCAGAGACTTAAGATTATCCTTTTGATTTATCAGCCATCTCAGAACCTGTTGATCTAGATTGGAAAGAAATTATCTTTGGTCCCGAAGAGACTTCCCAACAAAAAGAAAACTTAGCATTCAAACTTGGCCAGGATTCATACTTAAATATTAGACCATGATCGTTGTCAAAAAATAGAGGACCAACAAATTCCTTTGACCTCTAAGAGCAGGACAATTACTATGCCATGAAAATCCTCTAGATTAATCTCAGGTTTCACTGATTCAGCTGAATTAATATTGTAGCTATCTGATCACCAAAGTGAACGGGCCCTTTGTGATGCCAGATTCATCACCTGAGCCCTCAAAATCTCAGTATCTGAAAGACACATGTCAAGAAATAGATGAAGAAGCTCAACTCTGTCTAGTACAATAACAGTTTCTTTGCATGCCTGTCACTGACTTCAGTATCTTCACCGTTCCACCACCAATGCACTCTATACTCCCTACAAACTGCACCACAACACTGACTTGCCCTGAAACCTGTTTCACCAAGGGAAACAAGAACACTCTGTTATGGACACCATCCTGTTTATACCAGGGTTACTAATTAGTCTCACTTTGAGTAGAGCCCACAGGGATGGCCTCCTAAATGCTGGTGCTAATGACTGGACCGAAATGGTCCTTGTACTTGTGATTCATTCTTACACAGTCAACAGCTCATGGCTTGTAACTAAACCACATTGTCCAAGCCTTGCTAATCCTCCCATTATTTGGAATGCAGTTTTATTGTCAGTTATGGCACTGAGGACAATGAAAATAATTTTGATATTCTGAGTCCTGAAAAAGCAATTAGGGAGGAAGAGAAAAAAAGCAAATGGTAGGACAGAGAAAGAACAACCAATAATTAGATGGAGGAAGAAAAAGAGAAACTTGCACTCTAATAGGGAGAAATCAGCAGCAACTAGGAAGTGAGGAGAGAGGGAAGATCATAAACTAGAGAGGGAAAGAAATAGGATCACAGACTAGGGAGAGAAGAATCAAAAAATATCAATCAGTGGAGAAGTTTAGAACCACAAACTAGAGGGAGAAGAAAAAGACTACAAACTGGAGAAGGATACCAGAGAGAAACACAACCTGGATGGGAAAGAGAGGGAGGGGGCAAAAACTGGAAGAGAGACAGTACTACAAGATGAAAGAGGAGGAGAGGGTAAAACAAACCAAGAAACAAAGACAGCATCCTGTGGAATTGACAGGCAGGTCTTGTGTGATTAAAGAATTGGTTACTTTTTTTTTGCTGAAGTTTCTTATTAACAGTAATTGTTCCAAGCAAAGACTTGTTACAAGTTGTGTGTTCTAAGTAGTATAAAGATATGCATTGTCATATGTAAACATGATGCAGCTAGTCTACAATATAAACAAATAGGATATTGTGTTTGAATTATTTAATATAAGACTGAAAATCAGTAAACTAACCTTATACAATACTTTTATCATGGTCTTGCCAACAATATTATATCCAGATTTATATTATAATGATTATAATGTCATTTTCTCATAACCTTACAAGTATTTCTGCCTCATAGTTTAGCTAAAACACTTAGTTTGTTTTAGACTTTTATACAGTTGTCTTTTTCCAAAAATAAAAGTATATATTTCAGAGAGATTGGATTAAAATGTTTAAAATGATCAGTAACTAGTCTGTGACTATTGAAATTAGAAAGGTTAGGAACAATACAGGCACATCCTCACATCAAAATAAAATTAAACCAAATCTCAGGACTTTTTTTCTTTTTGCAGAAGGTTTTGGTCTTTGGAGCAATATGCCTGTATATAGTGTGAATGTAGACTTATTGCAGTATTCGAAGGCTGAATTCTTTGCCTGATGTCATAACATATAAAAGGAAAACTGAATACTGAATGATACAAAGTCACTGTGTTCCCCTCATTTTTTTGGTTGCATTTGTAGGTCAGAGAGGAATTTGCAGACGTTTTCCTCTAAATTGACATAGGGTGTTCAAAAAGCTTTTTCCTTTTTGCCTACCTGATAGATTATTTGGAAGCTGATAGAGTAGGAATGGAGGTAACATCATGTTATACAATGACTATGTGAAATATGTTCTACTTACCTGTTTGTCTTTTCCAGTCCATCTAGTTGCCAAGTGCTTATAATCACTTTAATTTCATTTCTCAGGTGTCAAAAGGATCGAATTTAAAAGATATTTTTTCCAGTCTTCTTCGGAATTTATCCATTGCTGTTACTCAGGTCAACATAAACACCGCTGGAAATATCCAAGCTGTGGTTGACATTATGACAGAAATTTTGAATCTAGATTTCGATGTTACGGAAACAGACATGGCGGTAAGAACCAGAAACTTTCAGAAACAATCTTGGGCTTAATTTAGTGCTTTTAGTCATTGTGCCGTTTTTTTGTATGAAAATGTGATTGTCACATATTTTGTCTTGTAATACACAGACTGAGAGGATTGTCTTTTACATTTGATACACAGTGAAGAAAAGCTGTGAACACACATTTTATTATTGCAGTAGAGTTTCAATTTTCAACTTTGGTTGAAAATGAGTTTGCTTTAGCTTGCCAACATATATCATTGAAGGTTTGAGCTTCTCTTCCATACTTTCCACAGAGTTTGTTTAAAAATTAGCTATAAAATCTGAAAATTACCTACATTGCTGCAAAGGAATTTTGATCTCCGGAATGACTAAACTAAGTACACCTGAGTACACAAGATCCAGTTCAATAAGAAACATTTCAATCTCAGCAACATTAAATCAGACACAAATTCAAAGCAGCTTACTAAATCCCGAGACATTTTTTCAAATAGTCATATATTCCATTGTAGAACCACAGAAAAGACTTAGGCCCTGATGCAGAAAGTAGCTGGCACAGAAGTGGGGTGCAATATGGGTGCATTGTATGCTGTCAGGAAAAATTGAACCAATTGGAACATATCGTTTAGAAAAGATTAGGCTGAGAGCTGACCTTAAGTTCTACCTGCTGGGGAGATCAAAATTAAGGTTATAAAATAAGATGATCATTAATTGATTTGAGCTACAATTGATCATGTTTGGCGCAGTATCAGTAAGAAAATGAACAAACAGTTAACTGAAGGCACAATTTTCAGCTAAATTAATTAGCTATGTTGCCCATGAAATAATTGAATGGAATCTTCCAGGTCTGCCAGGAGAGGAAGAGGAACTTAAAGGGAGGCTAAAATTCAGATTCCTCTTCGTGGATTCAAGTTTAACTATTAAACTACGTAAAAGTTCCAGCCAGGTCAGCCTTCCCAAACATGATTTTTGCAATGCTCTTTTGCACTGATTAGTAAATACTCATTAATCATAGCATGCTGTGGTTTTAAATCCATAAACACAATCTTGCTAGTCAAAAGCAAGAAAAACAAGTGTACACAAACCTGACCATGTATATGAGGCATGTTTCGTGAGACTTCTTCACTAGCTGGCTCCTTCACAACATTGTCTTTCAAGGGAGATAGCAAGAACCGCAGATGCTTCAGTCAGAGATAACGCAGTGTGGAGCTGCAGCAACACAGCAGAGGAGAAGGAACGTTGACCCTGAAGAAGGGTCCTGACCCGGAACATCAGCTTTCTTGCTCCTCTGATGCTGCCTGGCCTGCTGTGTTCCTCCAGCTCCACACTGTGTTATCATTGTCTTTCAAGGTCTTTCTTTGGTCATAAAATCAGTGCATAAGCATTGCAGGCTGCCCAGTCCATTGCACATGAAAAGCCTCAGTCAAAGCAAGTCTTCTGAAGCCTTTCTGTTCTCCAAGGGTTATTATATAAGGATTGAAGCCTATCTGGGAAAACTAGCATTTCTAAGTGAGGTGATTGCTTACCTGCTGTTCAGGAAGTTGGTGGTGAGTCACTCGGTGCACCTAACTTGCGCATGAGTTCCTCCACATCATACATGGCCAGATGAATGTGAAGTGAAATAGAAAACAAAAAGCACATTGCACTATCATTCAGGTAAGGATGACAGGGTCAAATGAAATATTCACTGCAGAGTAAAAGCTCCCATGCTCTGAACTCTTAACATTGATATCCTAACCAGCTGAAATAATGTATTGAACTCTAAGCTGAAGGGCAACTTGCACACAGGTTGTGATTTTCCCACCATGGACATCATGCTGGTACCTGCAAGACATAAAGTTAGAGAAGGCAATGTGGTCAATGGTTAGATATGGCATGCAATGAATGACACTGTCAGTGGGATAATGCGAGAATTGCCATGGAATGATGAATGCTACTTAACTCAGTTACGTAGATCCATAGAAAATATGATCAGGAGTGGGCTATTTCACCATTTGATCGTGCTGTGCCATTCAATATGATCATTACCGGTCATTCAAATTAGCACCCTGCTCCAGCTTTCTCCCCCTACCCTTTGAGCCCTTTAGCCCTGAGGACTATATTCTAACTCCTTACTGAAACCATTCTGTGTTTTGGCCTAAACCATTTGCTACAGTCAAGAATTCCCTAGGCTCACCCTTCACTCTTTGGGTCAAGAAATTTCTCCTCCTCTCAGCCATAAATCACCCACCCTGTATCCTTAGATCCGTGGTATTGACTCATTGGGAATATCCTTCCTGACTTTACACTGTCTAGTTCTGTTAGAATTATAGGTTTCTATGAGATTCCCCCCTTATTCTTCTTAACTCTAGTGAATAAAGTCCTAAACAATCCAGTTTCTCTTCCAATGTTAGTCTTGCCATCCCAGGAATCGGTCTGGTGAACCTTTGTTCCTCCATGGCCAGAACATTCTTCTTCAGGTAAGGAGACATAAACTGCACACAATATTCCAGGTGTGGCCTCACCAAAGCCCTGCACAGTTTCAGCAAGACATTCCTGCTGCTTGCTCAGCTAATCCACCTTCCTGTTTTTGCTCCCAAATTGGATAACCTCACATTTATCCACATTATGCTTCATCTGCCATGTATTTGTCCACAAACTCAATTTGTCCAAATCACACTGATGACAACTCATGGATGTCTTAGCATCTCTGTGGGAGTGATCTCAGTCTTCTCCTGCAAGGGACAAGATTTTCTCCTCATCGGTGAGGAACCTGATGTCAGGCCCTCCTCCACCTGCCCTTGCTCATTGTGCCCCCTTGTGGGCTGTCTTCTCCTGAAATGAGAGAAAAGGAGGGGTCGAATGAAGTGAAAATGGATAGCATAGCTGTCCGTGTTAGTACAGGTGGAGGAAGGTTAGTGAGATACCCCGGAAGAGTGAGCAGAGCACTGGGGGCATGCTGGGTTCATGGTGTGGGAAATTGTAGCAAGAATGAGAGTGAGTAAAGCAAGAGAATAGCAGAGACAGTGAGCGTGAGGTAGCAGAGAAAAGATTGTGGCACTTACCGTGGCAGAGTGCAGAAAGTCATTGACCTTTCTTGGGGCACCACTGGCTGCTCCCCCAAGCTGCGGAGACAGGACTGACCCAGGTGACGATCTTAGAAAGCACTGCCAGGGTGCAGTGGCGTGGTCTCTTCTGCCAATCCAGAGAAGAGGAGACCTCTCCTCTGGACCACCCCATCCAATAAGACTTCCAGGTCCCTGTTGGAGAATTGTGGTGTCATCATCCCTAAAGTTTTGGCTTCATTGTCATTAACTAGCAGGAAGCTTTGGAATGCCATTGCTGGTCCAATTATACAGTAGTCTGTTTAATGTGGCATGGATGGTAGGGATGCTGGTCTTCCAACGGAAACCTAGCAAGTGGTGAGTTGATCTGGGAACAACACATGGGACTGACATCAGATGTGAGGAGCTCCATAGGGGCAGAGTCAGTAGTTAATGAGGTGAGTTTGGTAAGATACGGCAATAGATTTTGCGGAGAGAGAACCTTTGGAAAACTCAATGCAACTCATACTTCACCAAATGAAGAGAGATTCTACATCCCACATGGCTGTGGAGGCTTAGTCATTGAGTATGTTCAGAGTAGAGTTGCACAGTATTTTAGGTGTTAAGGAAATTAAGGAATACAAGGATGATGCAAGAAAGTGGAGTTGAAGAAGGTGAAACATGGAAGGTTCAAAGAAAAGCTGTCCAGATTGGATTTTACTTTATTAGTTCTTTTGTTTTATTTTTGGCTTTATCTAGGAGGCATAAAGCTGCACGGACCAGCTGCTCCTTCTCTGCATGCCTTTCTTGTATGTTCATATGTTCAAGTGTATACCTTTTAGTCCATTTTCTGATGCCAAAAAATATTTGATTTTCTGAGAATGTGAAATTGGATATTTGATTAATGAAGCTTTCTTTTGAATTTTCAGAATTTCTTGAAAACTGTAAGTGAAATTCTCTCTTCTGAATCAATAACTGCATGGAGAAATATTACAATTGTAACAGCTGAAAATAGCCTCAATCCTGGTTCCCAATTATTACAGTCAGTGGAATATTTTAACACGCGCCTCAGACTGCAGAATGACAGATTTAACATAACAAAGAAACCTTGTCTTCAGAGCTAATAGAAATGGCAAACGTTCTATTGATGAAACCTTTCATAATATTTCCACTGAGGAATATTCCAATTTAAGTACTAATGTATTCATTTTGTTTAGAGAATTTGAAGATGCACCAAATGCCACAGTTATTATTGTTGCATATCCAACATGGATTGACATTTTACCCAATACCACAACTTTTGATAGCAACCTTTTGATTAATGGTCTCATCCTGACAGTAACAATAAACATTAAGGATCCTATTAACGTCAAGATGACCTTCTCACTAAGAAATTGTACACTAGATTTCAACAGTGCCATGTGTGTGTTTTGGGATTTTGAAGGAAGAGGTGCGTGGAATAATGCTGGCTGTAAGCCTGAAATCAACAAAGAAAATATCACATGTCACTATGATCACATGACATCCTTTTCAATGTTAATGTCCCCTGATACCAATGACAGCCCAATTTTGAGTTATATCACTAGAATCGGAGTTACCATCTCAATTGGAAGTTTACTAATTGCTATTATTATTGAGGCCATAGTGTGGAAGCATGTGACCAAAAATAAAATCTCATATACTCGCCATGTTGGAATTGTGAATATTGCAGTAAATCTGCTGGTCGCTGATATATGGTTCATTGTGGCTTCAGCTGTAGAACCAGAAACACAGGCTTGCACAGCTGCTACTTTCTTCATTCATTTTTTTCTATCTTGCCTTATTCTTCTGGATGTTGACCCTGGGCCTGCTGCTTGTCTATCGTTTACTTTTCCCTTTCCATCATCTCAGTAAATCAGTTATGATGGGAATATCATTTGCCATTGGTTACCTGCCTCCATTGCTAATCTCAATCATCACAATCGGGGTTACCTATCCAAGAAACAGTTACAGCAGAGAAGGTGCCTGCTGGCTCGGCTGGGAGACCGAATACCCTCTGCTTGCATTTGTTATACCTGCATTGGTTATAATCACAATCAACATCATCATTCTGATAATAGTCATTTTTAAGCTGCTGCGACCAACAATCGGGGACAGATCCAGTGCCAATAATCAGGAAAGAGAAACATTCAAACAGATTGTGAGAAGCATTGCAGTGCTGACCCCAATCCTCGGACTCACCTGGGCATTTGGAATACTAACCTTTTAGCGGGATTCCCATATTGCTTTCCATTATATATTTACAATTCTCAATGCTTTTCAGGTATGTGTCAAGTATATTGCATAACTTTTGACTTCTAACTGTTTGGTTAACTCAGCTGTGCATAGGAATTCAGATTATGCAACTTTCAGCAACTAAACATACCCCATAGGTTCATTACTTTCTGTGTCATTCCTTAACATGTAATTTTACAGCTAACTGGATGTAAACAAGATCCTGCATAAGATCAGCCCATAATATCATATAAAGCAATAATGAACAAAAATGCATTTTCCAGAGGTTTATTCCTTAACGTACAAATCTGAAAATAAGAAACGTACAGCATCAAATTAGCTCAGTTCAGTGAGCTTAGCAGAAATGTTAGTTTTCTTGATAGTTATTCCCCATAATCAGTAGATGAGCTGGAGTATCACTATTTAATATGAGATTTAATTGTAGAGCATCTTTCACATTGTCAGAACAACTAAGTGCTTATAAGTTAATATTTAAAGTCTAATTATTGCAAGGTGAGCAAAATCTTTATTCTAATCTTCCATAGATCTCTTTTGAGGCTGCATTTTTAAAAAAGACTGCATTTATATTACTTGGGGAAGATTTGGTTTGTGTTATCGGTGACAACGTCTTGAACTTTTGGGGTGCATAATTTTATCACTGTTAAATTGAAAAGGAAGTCATAGCTTACTGAGTAAAAATTTTGTGCTGCATAAAGAACATTGATGAACGTAGCTGCTTCTGATTTAACCAGGACTGAGGGTCAAACAACTAACAGGCTGGAGAGAATGGGTTCAACAATTATAATGATGAACCTGCCACCTTGGATTTGAGTAACTTTGAGGAATTATGGGCTCAGGAAACGTAGACACAGAGGATGACATAGGTAATTGTTTTATCAGCACTACTTATGGGAAAAGAGAAACAAAGTGCTTCCTCTGCACCCCTCCTGCCTGCAATCCTCAGACCTTCTCGTCCTCATTATCTCCTAATGAACTCGTCACTACAACAAAATTTCTGTTATCCTGCACTCTACCGACCAGTATTCTCTATTAGCTGGAATTCTGGGATTACTGAGGGTGCCTCTCATGCCTCAGAAACTGATGTTAACACTCGTTCCCCATCAGACCCACTTTGAAGATATTTCAAATCAACCTGTGCAGGGATATTGATACATACCCCTGGAGTAGACGAAACTTGAATCCAGGCTTTCTGGCTCAAGGCAGGGCCACCACTACAGCACCACAAGAACCCCATCAGACCCATTCTTTCACAACTTCTATTAATTGTAAAAACACCCACCATCAGTTTTCATTAGCAGCTTTTCCTCATTCTGGTTTCAGCCTCCTACTGTTCTGAGGTACCATGTTCCCTTACTTACCAGATTTACATTCACTTGCAGCTCTGATGAGATCTCAACAATCACTTCAACATGTGATCATTGTGGAGCTTTCTGATAGGTAAACTACAGGGAATTTGCCTTGTTTCTTAGCTAACAGATGTGTTTGATCATCTGGATCTCCCATTCTTACAGCATGAAGGATTACAAAGATTTTATTGCATCCCCAGACTTGCCCCTTTTCACTATCCTTAGCATCTTTCTTCCTAAGTATCTGCTGAGTTCCTCTTTCTCACTATCTCCAGACCCACAACGGATTACCTGCAGACTGCTTATTCCTCACTACCTCCAGGATACCCACCCTACTCCTATCCCGAATCTCTCACTTTTTTTAATTCACTCATTTGGATGTGGGTTTTGCTCATTAGACCCTTTATTGCCAATCCCTAGTTGCTCCTGAGAAAGTGATGGTAAGTGGCCTTCTTGAATCACTGCAATCCATTTGCTTGATATTTGATGCTGAACACTGATTTTCTTCCAATCAGATCCGTGTGAACAGCAGACCTCCTATCAGCTTTAATAACATATTTTAACTTGTTTTGTCAAGAATTAACCCTTTATTAATCTTACTGTATCATTACACTGTCTTGGTAGTAATACAGATTCCTAATGCAGCTCTTTTATGTTTGATATGGAGTCACTGCGAGATTTTTAGCCTTTGACTTATTCTTGTAGCAAATGTACTTACACGACTAGCCCAATTGTTTCTGGATATTACTAACCACCAGGATGTTGATAATGGGGGAATTCAGTGATGGCAATGCCATTGAATGTCAAGAGGCAATGGTTAGATGTTCATTGTCTTCACTTGTCACTTGTCAGCCCAAAACAGGATGTTATCCAAGTCATTCTGCATTTGGAGATGGGCTGCTTCAATATTGAGGAGTCAAGAATGATGCTGAATATTTAGCAATCATTAGCGACCATCCTTACTTCCAACCTTATGATGGAGGGAATGTCATGGATAAACTAACCGAACATGGTTGGGCTTATGGCACTACCCTGAGGAACTCCTGCAGTCCTGGAGCTGGGATGACTGACCTCCAAAACTGCAGTCATTTCCCTTTGTATGAGGTATGTTTGAAAATAGCAGAGATTTTCTCCTGACTGCCTTTGATCCAGTGTTGCTAGAAGTTGAAGCCACGCTTGGTCAATTGTGGATTTAATGTCAGGAAATGTCACTCTCACCTCACTTCTGGAATTCACCTCATTATCTTTGTTTGAACTAAGTTAGTAATGAGGTCAGAAGCTGAATGGCCTTGGAAGAACCAAAAATGAGCATCAGCAAAAAGGTCATTGCCATATAAGCGCTGTTGATAACACCTGGACTGATGGGGCAGTAATTGGCTAGCTGGATTTAGCCAGCATTTTGCATTTTTCCATACAGGACAATGGATGTAGTGTAATAGCTGTACTGGAACAGCTTGGCTCGTGTTGGGAGCAGATTCCGGAGCATGTTCCGTGTTTACGATTGCCGGAATGTTGTCAGGACCTGTAGCCTTTGCTGTATTTAGTGCCTTCAGCTGTTTCTTAATATTGTGTGAAATCAATTGAATAGACTGAAGACTGACATCTGTGACACTGGAGACACCTGGAGGAGGCCAAGATGGATCATCCACTTGCTATTTCTTGCTGAAGATTGTTGCAAATGCTTCAGCCTTATCTTTTTGCACTGATGTTTTGGGCCATCTCATCTTTGACGGTGGGGAGAATTGTAGAGCCTGCTTTGCCATTGAGTTGTTTAATTATCCACTGCCATTCGCAACTGGATATGACGAACTGCAAAGTTTAGGTCTGATCTATTGATTGTGGAATCATTTATAAATGTCAATGATTTGCTATTCATGCTGCTTGACATTCACATCTTCCTGTATTGTTGTTCCACCAGGTTAACACCTCATTTTTAGGAAAAGTCAGAAGTCACACGACACCAGGTTATAGCCCAACAGGTTTATTTGAAATCACAAGCTTTCGAATCGCAGCCCCTTCATCAGGTGCAGTGAGAGAGCAGAGTACACAAACTCAGAGTTTATAGGCAGAGAAATTAAAGGCAGAAAGATCAAAAGATCATATAACTGGTGTGAGTGGAGTGTTGGATGATAAGTCTCTGCAGGAGACCAGGAGCGTTAGACAGTGAGTAAAGTGTCAATAACCAGTGAAGGGATGACTTATAATCCAATTAGGTGAGGCAGAGAGATAATTACAAAAAATTAAGAATAAGGTGGTGCTGGAGACAAACTAATTGACTGGAATCACATGCGAATTCAGAACAGTACAAACTAATTAAGGTAGAGAGAACATAACAATTTATCAAGGTGATGCCGTCAAAACAGGACAGTAAGCAAGATTTTACAGATACAGTTTGTACTAGTTTGTACAGTTTTGAATTCAGCATGTTATTCCAGTCATTTAGTTTGTCTCCAGCACCACCTTATTCTTAATTTTTTGTAATTATCTCTCTGCCTCATTTAATCAGATTATAGGTCATCCCTTTGCACGTTATTCAGCTGTTGACACTTTACTCACCGTCTAAATCTCCTGGTCACCTGCAGGTGACCAGATCATCGAACACTTCACTCACATCAGTTATATGATCTTTTGATCTCTCTGCCTATAAACTCTGGGTCTGCGTGCTCTGCTCTCTCACTGCACCTGACAAAGAGGCTGCATTCCGAAAGCTTGTGTGATTCCAAATAAACGTGTTGGGCTATAACCTGATGTTGTGTGACTTCTGACTTTGTCCACTCCAAGCCAACACCAGCACTTCCACTCCATTTTTAGGTATGCCTAGTGCTGGTTCTGGTATGGTCTCCTGCGTCCTTTACTGATCAGCTTGCTGGCCGTGGTAAAATTAGGATTTGCCAGGCCGTGAGGTTTCAAATTGTGATGAGTATAATCTGCAGCTGCTGATGGCCCATGGATCCTCATGAATGTTCATTCTTGAGCTGTTCTAAGTCTATCCCATTTGACAAGGTGATAATGCGAAACAACATGATAGAGAATATCTTCAATGTGAAGGCAAAACTTTGTCTCCACAAGGACTGTGTGGTGGTCACTCTTACTGACACTGTCATGGACAGACGCATATATAGCTGGCAAGTAAATATTTTTCCTCATGGTGATCCCCTGCCACAAACCCAGTCCTGCAGCTATATGTTTTAATACTTAACCAACTCAGTCAGTAATAGTGCTGCCGAGACACACTTGCTGATAGACATTGAGATCCCCTAACCAGAGTAGATTCTGCACCACTACCACCCCCAGAGCCTACTTTAAGTGGTGTTCAACATAGAGGTGTACAGACTCATCGGCTGAGTGCTGGCAGTACATGGTGATCAGCAGGAGGTTTCTTTGCCCTTCTTTGACCTGATGCCATGTGACTTCATGGGCTTCAAAGACCAGTGTTCAAAACACTCATGGCAACTCCTTCCCTCCCCTTATACCATTATGTTACCACTGCTGCTTGGTATCTTCCGTCAGTGGGACAGGACACAGCTAGGGATGGTGATGAAGGTGTCTGGGACTTTGTATGTAAGGTGTGAATCTGTGAGAATGATGATGTCAGGCGATTGATTAATCTGTGAGACAGCTCTTCAAGTTTTGGCACAAACCCCCAGATGTTGGTAAGAAGGAACCTGTAGGGCTGATAGGACTGACTCTGTCACTGTCATTTCCACGGCCTGGTTGATGTCAAGTGGTCTGTCTGGTTTCATTCCTTTTAAGTATGTTCCGCAGTTTGGTACACCTGAGTGGCTTTCAGAGATCAACCACATTGCCTTAGGCCAGACCAAGAATGGAGTTACCCTTCCCTAAAGGAAATTAGTGAACCAGATAAATTTATATGACAATCAACAATGATTTCATGGTCATTATGAGACTTTAATTAAGATTCCACCATGTGGGATTTGAACCCGGATGCCCAGAGCAAGACCTGGATTGCTAGTCTAGTGACTACACTGCTACTACATTCTCCACTAGATCCCTTTTCCTCATGATTTTTAGAGACCCTCCTCCTCCCCAACGCCAGATTTCTCTTCACTAACTCCAGACTCCCCCGTTGAAAGTTGTTTCTTCATATGCCAGCATCTCACTCCCTATGATATGCAGATCCCATCTTTCCTGTGTCCTCTGGACCTTCCTTTATTCCATCTCTTGCTTTCTCTTTGTGATTTCCAGACCTCAGTCTATTTGATCCTTCCCCTTGTGATCTCTGCAATCATCTCCATCCAACTCCAGATCCCTTTCACCACTAGACATCATTGCATGACGTCTGCAACCTCCAACACACTGATACTCAAGGATGCTCTCATTGTTGATCTATGTGATCTCCTCTATGCAATCTCTAGAGACCCTTCCCACAACTTTCAGAGCACAATCCACCTCTTGCCATTTCCAGATTCCCTCTATGTGGTTTCTACTCTGTTTCCTTTGATGTCAGACCACACTACAAATTTCACACCCTGTCTATTCTCCATTCCCACCTCATGGCAAATAACAAAAGCAAGGAAGTGTTGCCAGGTGAGCTTTCAGGAGGTAATTCTATAGACATCAGTGATTATAATTAGTAATACACAGGAAGAGAGAATAGAAGATATAGACAGATATCTCAAAAGATTGCAGTGCACGTTACAGAATGCAATAAGGCCACAAACAGTCTGAAAACACAAATAAGAAAGTTAATCATCTTGACCACCTTCTGCAGAAGAAACCTTCAGTTAGAGGGAACAGAATTGGATTCAGAAGTATGTAGGCTTAAAAGCAGCCAGGAAACATGCTTAACGTTGTTCTGCAGGCCAGAAATTTACTCTGATAAGCATATTGTTAGATACTGGGAGATAGCAAGAATGGCAGAGGCTGGAGTCAGAGTCAATACAGTGTGGAGATGGAGGGACACAGCAGGTCAGGCAGCATCACTGGAGCAGGAGAAGTGCAGGAAGAGCAGCATCAGTCCCGATGAAGGGTATGAACCCGAAACATTGATTTTTCTGCTGCTCTGATGCTGCCTGACCTGCTGTGTTCCTCCAGCTCCACATTGTTGAATATTATTGCTTGAAAGAAATCTGTTTTTACCTCCTATTTTAATTTGAATAAACTATTGACAGATGGTCATTTTGTAATTGTTAATGTAATTATTACAAAAATGTGTTTGCAATTAATTAAAGATCTATAAATTAACTGCTTAAGAATTATCATTTTTAGGGATTCTTCATTTTGGTCTTTGGAACATTCATGGATAATAAGGTGAGCCACTGATGCCATTTCCACCAGTTTTCGGACATTTTTATTTTCATTTCACCTCATGAAATGCCTTCTTTTGCTATTAACTTAGTTACGAGAAGCCTTGCTGAAGATTTCATTGAGAGGATTTTCTTCCATTGCAAAGGTGAGATTATGGAAAATAAGAATGACATCTCATTAGCATCTGAAGGAAAAAAGATATATTAATGATTTAAGTAGAGACTTTTCCTCAGAACTGACATGGGATGGAATTGTTTCTCTATTGTTAGACCGAACAAAGCAAAGGAAGTGGAAGAACAACAACCATGTATGTGATGTATCTAAATGTGCGCTGAACGCAATGTTCCCTAGTGTGAAATGTGATTCAGACAATTGCCAAGAGGAATGGGCACTTGAAGACTCTATCTAAAGAACAGGTTTTGTGCCAGTTTTTAAAGGAAGGTAGAGAGATGGAGAGTCTGAGAATAGAACTCAGGTCAACCCCTGAAGGCTTACTCAACAAGAAAATATTGCCACAAATAACACAGCAAAGGGAAGGAATATATGAAGAGGGACTAGGTTTGGAACACCACAGGATGAAGGAAAGTACACAAGATTGGAAATGGTTTTGGAGTTGAGATGAAGCTGAGGCCATGTAGCAAAGTGAAGAAAAATTGAGACGTGCTTTGATGATCTGCTCCATGTTTAACCAAACCAAAATGAGACTGTTACTGATCATAGAACCAATCATCCAGAAACACAGGCCTCAATTTTCACTCCCAGGTTAGGAGTTTAGAATCGGAACATTTCCTGGTTTTGTAAACCCAAATGGATAAAAAATGATTGGATTTTCATCCCTGAATTGAGACATTCTGTGGAAGTATATTAGGCAACCCCAGAATAAGAGTGGATGCTGGTTGTTCATAACGCCTGCCTCCAAGCAATGGCACAATACTGCCATTTAACAAAAAAAAATGAAACCAAATCTTCTAAACCCATAACATACATACTGTATGTGTTATTCGTGCCAATACCTTGACAACATACTCTCAATACTATCTTTTTGTCCCTCTACCTATCATGACTCATCATAAATCCAGCCAGCATATGTCCCTTTACCAATCCCATGGACCCCTCATACATTCTTAACACCCTATGACCCCTATCCTCACCCCATAGCCCACTATGCCAACCTATGGACCTATGTCCACCATCCTTTTATAGACCCAATACTCATTGTTACACCTCTAACCATCACCTTAGCTGTTTGTAACCATTATATCAACTTAGTGCCAGCTCTTCCCAACACATACTACCACAAACCATCCTTTTCTCTCTCCCCAACTTACCTTGTGAGAAAAACATTTAAGATATGGAGATTCCATTAATTAAGCTGGTATGAAGACAATAGTTTGTATTCTAATTTGAAACTTTAACCATTCTTTGACTGCATTAACAGTCTTGATAATTCGTTTACATTTCTTTGACACTCAGTGAACTTCTAAACTTTTAGACACATTCATGTACAATCTTCCAATCCTGAAGAGTACAATACGCTAATATCATCTTATTTGACTTAATGTCAAATATTAAAAGCACAATATAAATACAAGTTATTCTTGATTTCCAAGAGGAAATATTCATGCATCTTTAAGGGTATGCCCAGTCTTTGCCTGTCAAGAGGCTGAATCTGTGCTTTTGAACCAATTATTATTATTCTTCAGTTCTGAATTGGGGCCTTATTTGACTTTAAATGTTAACTCTGCTTCTCTCCCATACAGGTTTGCAGACCTGTTGAGTTTTGCCAGCACATTTTTTTTATTCACTAAATAACTAACAAAAAACTTACCTGAAAATAGTTTGTTTTTGTTCATTTGAATCAAAAAATACATTTAGTTTTACCCTTCATTTCATCCTATAGTGTAGGAGTGAAACAAATCAGAGACAATAGCTCAACAACTTTTGTTACAATTAACATGGTTTATAGTTCTGGATTTTTTTAGTTATTACTGACCAATTTCATGAAATAAATACCTGTGTTCATTTCACTTGCGTGAACCCTCAATTTATTGGGAATGTTCCTGTCTCTGATCTAGAAATGAAATGCATTCAATGAATTCCGTCTGCAAATGGAAACCATTATGCCAGCTCTGAATATGAGATTTTTCTGTTTTAAATAGCTATTCAATTGATGTGGGTAGATCCCATTCCTGATATCCCTAGAGACTGAATATTAGAACATACTCTCTTACATTTATTGTTATGGTATTACAGAAATGTCAATATAATTGAATTACCCTTGTCATTCTCAAACTCCAGGTGGCTGGACACAAAATGACATGGAGGAAACGTATCTGCTCACAGCACCCTTTGGGAGTATGATATATTTTAAAAATAATTATCACAACCTTGTTTGTTCAGCTAGCAGTAGTAGAGCCAAATCTCATAAAACTATAAAAACCCCTATACAGTACAGAAGGAGGTCATTCAACCCATTGAGTCCACACAGACCCTCTGAAGAGCACCCTGACCAGACCCAATCCCCTGTTGTATCCCTTAACCTGACATGGACCATGGCTAACCCACCAAGCCTACTGTAAATACTATGGGTAATTTCAGCATGGTCACTCCTCCTAACCTGTACATCACTGGACTGGAGCACCAGCAGGAAACCCACGCGGACACAGTGAGAATATGCAGACTCCACACAGACAGTTGCCTGAGGCTGGAATCAAACCCAGGCCCCTGGCACTGTGAGACGGCAGTGCTAACCCCTGAGTCACCGTACCACCCCCAGGCTGTGTACTTGTAATTTTGTGAGATGTGCTCCCAGTGAGCATTGATCCTGATCAGAACACTCTACAGAGAAATGGGACAGCAGGAATAAAAATGAGAAGTGAATGAACAAAGGCTGCTACGTATATTCATACTGATGATTTTTTTTTTATTTTTCAGTTACCACTGAGTTCTTCCACTGCAAAGCCTCCCTCAAAACCTCCTCACTCATTTCATTCTAGAAATAGTAAGTATAACAATGAAATTGAACAAAAGTAGATCCAGTTCCATGACAAAAGTTACTCCAAAAATATTTTATAGCATTAACTGTAATTTAGTGGCTATTACTGAAGGGAGAAGAATTGCGTTTTTATAATAAATGTGATCAAATTGGACCTGAGTTTTAACTGCTGCCATATTTGTAGTGGGAAACTGCATTTGAGTTCATTCTGTGCCCACATGCACCAGAGGAAAGCCTGGTAGATCTTAATGGCCAAGTCCTCATTTAAACAGTCACTTGTTTCCTGAATGGGTGTCTGCTGGAAGCTACCTTTGATTTTAAGTAAATGCAGGCTTGGTTATTAGAGCCATCATCTCGGGGTTCCTGTGATTGAGAAGGATTAGAGGACAATGGTCTCAAGTCTGCAGCACAACAGCTTCTCCTGACCATCTCAAAGGAAAGTTCTGACACTTAGCTTTCAGGAGTATCTCTATCTTCAAAAATGTTTCTGCCCGAAGCTGAAGAGCTGCTTCTGCGTCCTTGCTTCACTTACCAAACACAGTCTGCCATCAGTCTTATGGATGTTACAGTGAATCAATTTCATGGTGGCTCAGTGGTTAGCACTGCTGCCTCACAGCACCAGGGACCTGGGTTCAATTCCACCCTCGGGTGACTGTCTGTGGGGAGTTTGCACATTCTCTCTGTGTCTGCGTGGGTTTCCTCTGGGTTCTCCGGTTTCCTCCCACAGTTCAAAGATGTGCAGGTTAGGTGGACTGGCCATGCTAAATTGCCTGTAATGTTCAGGGATGTGTAGATTAGGTGGGTTATAGGGGGATGGGGATGGGTCTGGGTGGGATGCTCTGCGGGTCAATGTGGACTTGTTGGGCCGAAGGGCCTGTTTCCACACTGTGGGGATTCTATGATGATTCCATGACTTTTTTAGAGCTTCTGTCTGCTTTAAGCAAGTTATCTTGCAAAATCAGAAATGATGGAGATCTGAGTGGGTACATAACCTACTCCTGTCTAACTGCTGAGTCAAACTGGGGAAAATTGATGAGCAGATAATGCACCTTATATATTTATTGAATGAACCAGAAAATGTTGCTGGATCCATACATTTTAAAAATGTTGGCAATATGCTGAAAACTACCAGTCAGCATGATGTCACTGGACATGTAAAACAAAATACATTTTTAAAGTTTAAAAACTTGAGCTGAGTAAATGTAAAATGATATTCTAATGATGAAGATCTTAATATAATATTAAGACAAAAAGAACCCTGAAGACACTAAAGGCTGGATTTTTCAGATGGTAGGGATTCCTGCACCACTACTCAAAGAGGTGGTGTGATACACATCCTCTTCAATGCTGGCTATATGGCAGCTGCTAATGCTTGGAAGCCATGAAGTGGATAGGGGATGGATTTGCTCCCATTACAAGAGGAAGTTCATTTAGAGAGCTCACAGGCAAACAGGGTGCTGGCTGCTGTGTAGTTTCAGCAGTATCTGGTTTGAGCAATGGCCGCTGTGGGCACTACAGCCCGAAGCTGAAGAAGAGGACATTCTGGATCAAAGTACACCCAGAGTATGGTAGGGCTTAGTAAGTAGGCTTAAGCAAGGGAAGTGAGGAGGTTGCTGGTGTCAAGGATAGGTATGAGAGCCTAAGAACAAGACTTAAAAGGTCAATGATCTTGGGGTGAAAGGCAAGATGTCTTAGGTGAACATATGAACAAGGATAGACCACTCAGTCCTTCGAGCCTGCTCTGCCATTCAATGAGATTGTGGCTGATCTGATTTTAACCTCAACTTTACATTCTTGCATACTCCTAGTAACCTTTCACCCCCTTTGTAATCAAGAATATATTTACCCTTGCTTTAAAAATATTTAAAGGTTCTGCATCCTCTGCCTTTTGAGGAAGAGATTTCCAAAAATCTTCAACCCTCCAGGAGAAAAATAATGTTTCCTCAACTTGCCTTAAATGGGTAACCCCTTATGTTTAATCTATGACCCGTAGTTCTAGTCTTTCTCGCAACATAAAACATCCTTTCCACATCCAGATGGTCAATCCCCTCGGGATCTTGTATATTTGAGTCAACTCTGACTTTTCTAAACTCCAGAATGTACGGGCCTAGCCTGTCTAGCTTTTCCTCATAGGGTAATAGTCCAATAAAGCATTTCTGAACTGCTTGAAACCCATTGTCATCTTTCTGTAGGTATGTTGATCAGTAGTGTACTTAATACTCCAGATGCAGTCCCACCAAGGGCCTGTCTAACTGAAGGATAACCTCCCTACTCTTGCATTGAATACCCATCATGAGAAAACCTAACATTCATAGCGCCACACAGCATAGAAACAGGTCTTTCGGCTCACAATGCCTGTGCTGACCAATAAACACTAAACTACTTTAATCTCAGTCACCTGCAGTTGGTTCATACCCTGGCATTTTAGCTGCTCATCCAAACACATCTTTAAAAATACAAGCGTACCTACCTCCACTACCCTCCTAGACATTATGTTCCATATTTTTACCACCCTCTGCGTGAAAATAGATTTTTCTCTGATCTCCTCTAAACCACTTGCTCCTTACCTTAAATTTATGCTCTCTGGTCTTAAACATGTTTGCCATGAGAAAAGATTCTCACAAACCACTCTTTCTATGCCTGTCATAATTTTGTATATTTCAATCAGATCCACCACTCCTCCCACCCCTGTCAGCCTCTTCTGCTCCATGGAAAACAAACCCAGCCTATCCTAATAACTAAGACGTTTCATCTCAGGCAACATCCTGGTGAATCTCCTCTGTATCCTCTCCTGTGCAATTATGTTCTGCCAATACTGTGGCATCTAGAACTGCACACAGGATCCCATCTGTGGCCTAACCAATGTTGTATAAAGTTCTAACATTACTTCCATGCTCCCATGTTTTATGCCCCAGCTGATGAAGACAAGCATCCCATATGCCACCTTCACCACTCAATCCACCTGTGCTGATTTCTTCAGGAATCTATGGATTTGTATGCTAAAGTTCCTCAGTACTCCCCCTGTACCTGCCATTCATTGTGTATATTCTATCAGTGTTCCTGATTACTTGCTGTAGCTGCATACTGACTTTCTGAAGTTCATGCACTAGGACACCCAGATCTCTCTGCATCTCAGACCTCTGCAACCTCTCACCATTTCGATACTTTGCTTCTTTTTCATTCTTTCTGCCAAAATGGACAATTTCACACTTTTCCACATTGCACTCCATTTGCCTGTTCTTTGTCCACTTACTTCACCTGTCTCTTTGTGAGCTGCTTATGGCCATGTCACAACTCTCTTTCTTGATGTCCTCATAAGATTTAACTACGAGACCTTCAGTCTCTTCATCCAAATCATTTTTAAAAACTGTAAAGTGTTGAGGCACCAGTACCAATTCCTGTGGCAAACCACTCGTGACATCCTGCCGTCCTGAATAAGACTCATTTATTTCTACTCCCTGCTTCCTGTTAGCTGGCTACAGGAGATATCCAAAAGAGGTAATTCCTCTCACCTCGTTTAAATCTGTTCAATTAAAGCTGCTGGGCTGCCCATTTGGTGCGGGCCTCCCCATGGTCTGGGTAATATCATGGTGAGTTGGGCTGAGACCATTAAGTGGCAATTAATTGGCTGCTTAAGGGCCTGAATTGGCCTCTTTGCAGGCAAGCTATCCAACGCCTTGACTGCTTGCCATTAAACAGGAGACAGCTCAGAGGTGGGTGTGGAGGAGGGTGTGCATTGCATTTTGTGAGGCCTGTGCCTTCAAACTCACCACCCATGGATGGTAAACATTCCACCTGCTGCCTCTTCTCAGAAACGGTTTAAAACTAGCTTTCAAGATCTTATGCAAATGATGGCCCTGATTTTCTGACCAGGATCGAATCCCTATTTCCAACCTCGATTTCAAATTTCATACTTCCTTTCCTCTGCTATGTCCGAGCGATCATCCAGAACCGACTCAATGCAGGAATCCTCAGATAGAACAGTGTGGAGAATCAATGTAGAAGTCATGGCCCTAACTTTATTGGTGATATATAAAACTGAAGTGGTAGGAATCTAAACTGTGAGGAGGATACAAAGAGGCTTCAAGAAAATTTTGATATGCAAAGCGAGTGGACAAGAACATGGCAACTGGAGTATAATTTGGAAGAATGTGAAGTAATCTACTTTGGTAGGAAAGGCATAGTAATTCTAAAATAGTGAGAGATTCAAAAGCGTTCCTTTGCAAAGGGATCTTGCGTGTCTTTGCTTATAAGTTACCAAAGGATACCATGCAGGGACAGCAAGCAATTAAGAAGGCATAAGGCATGTTGGCCTTTATCGCTAGAATAAATCTCGCTGCAAAAGTAGATATTTAATGCCCAAGGCTTCTTTAAGTAAGGTAAATGTGCATGGTAAGTGAGTAAAGTGGTGGGTGGGTAAGGGTTAGTGGGGGTGAAGCAATACAGTGGGGAAGGGTAACTTGGTAAGGGGTAGGGTGGCAGATGTGTTGAGTAGTCAGACGGTGGGGTGGCATGTGCGTAGGATAGAAGATGGGTAAAGTGGGTAGGTGGCTCAGGGTGTCAATTAGAATCGGGGCTAGTCGGGGTGAGGGGGGTAGAGTAAAAGAGTGGGGTTGAATCAGGTCACAGAAGGTCAAATGTGTAGTTGGCTCAGGTATCAATGTGCTAGGCAGTGTTGTCTGTGCAGTTACCCAGGAGTTAAACTAAGATTTTTCCAGTCTAACATTCCATCGATAACCATGCAGTTAAGTAGTCAGAACTGTCCAATGGTTTGAAGATTTTTTCGGGGTGTTGTGGGGAGTGGGGGAATTGCTTATTGCATGTTCGGTCTTCCTAAGTAATTCCCAAAGACCCTTGCATTTTGGATTTCTGACACGTCTGTAGTGCATCTTCCGGGTATGTAGTCTCCAACCGTTCAAAGACTTGAAACTATGAGCCATAATATTTGTTCTGTATGATATAATAGTATCAGCATACCATAGTGCTATTTGACCATGCTATGCAACAACATTGTCAGTGATATGATTTTGCCTTGGTGATCCACAATTTCTGAGGCTGTGAAATGACATGACCTACTACACAGCCACTGAGTGCTTTTGTCATTAATCATTCCTTTTGCTATTTTAGAAAAGGTTCTAATCCATTTTAAATACATATAAATCAGTTTACTGTATGAGACTCCGAGTGAGTTGCCTTTCTGCACACAGGCATTGTTTGCTATGTTAATCCTAATGTAATACAGTCCTATCTCCAACTCACTAAAGATACCAAGCTGAAATGAAGACTTCACAAAATTCCTACTTGTCTGTTAGCAGAGAAAGGAACTATATTTTTGAGTTGATAACTGTTTGTTGGTATCTCATGCTGTTTTGCCAGAGCTCAACCTCCCAGGTTGCCCCTTTCTGTCCTACTCATTGTTCAATATCAAGTTGGATATAAATTTCAGAAAAATGTTCAGCAAGATCTTGCTGTTCAACTACACCAAACAAAGTTTTCTCTCCAGCGTTAGATGTTGTCCCCTGGCAGTCAGTCTGGGTTATATTGTGCACATATTTAGTATTATGTTTGACCCTGACTTATGTTTCAAACCCTATATCCAATCTATCACTGGAACGGTCAATTTGCACCTTAGAGTTTTTTTTCTGTCTCCTATCTTTAACTCTCTCCCATCATTGCTGAAATATTTAATCAAGACTTGCTCACTTCCAGCTTGGTTACTCCTATGGTCTCTTGCCAACCATCCAATTTCACCCCATGTAAACTGAAACTCATTCGAACTACTGCTGTATACCCTGCATCAAGAATCCTGTTCCTTTACCATCTTTCCCTTATCAACTTCAATTATTTCTCGGATGCATTGAATTTAGAATGTTTACACGGCCTTGCCCTTTTGTACCCCTGCCACCTACATTCCCGACATTCCAGAATGTGCCCTCTGCTTCTTTAATCTCATCCCCTTTTTACTCCATTAGGGTACAGCCTTCAGCTATCTGAGCTCCAAATTTTTACCACTCTCCATAATCCATTCACACCCTTTGAAAAACTCTTCATTTTCTACTTTTATGACCACTTCTTCAAATCAACTTGCTTTGCTTTTCTTCCATCACTGCTCAGTTTCCTATTGTCAAACACTGTTTCATCTGAAGCTGTTATTTGAGAACAAATTGTTGTTGCTGTAGATGCCTAGTCATATGCTGTAATAGAAAACCTGAACCATTACGTAAATGTTGGGTAATGCAGTGATGCTTTGTGATTTCAACTTTATTGACCTTGTTTTTTGCTTCAAAATTTCAGAGAACTACAATAAAACTGATCAACAGCACTTCACTATTTGTAGCCCATCTCCAAACTCTTTTCTGAATTAACTGCTAGAACTCAATACATAGATTCTGCATTTCTTTAGATGCAGAAGATATTTGAAGAAAAATATATTTGCACCATGACAGATCCACTTCAGAATTTATTCAAGAAGAAATTGTTGCTGCTGTTAAAAATGTATAAAACCTTGTGGCATTGAATATGAACATACATTATTTGATTTAGGTAGCAACATTATTCATTGTGCACTGGGCAATAGTTCATGTCAATAAAAAGAAGCACATAAGAACATGAGATATAAATTGTCAATTTCCTGCAGTGTTGTAAAGCTCATGATAAGATTGTGTTAATATCAGTGAAATTACTAACTGTCATAAATTCCTTACTTGTGTAAGTAAACCAGACAATCTAGTATTGCAGACTATGCTGTGGGTAATTTTAGAATGATGTTTTTATATCTTGTTGAATCTTTAAGAGTAAAATTCCTCTTTCCCACCACTACCCCCACCCTACCCCACCATAACACCACGTATATTCCCAATTCACATTTAGGTTTACTTAGGGTATAACAAATCAATGTTCACCACAATATGAGATTGTACTCGGTTATTGAAATTTTGCTTGATTTTCTGTTATAAGTATAGAACAGATTTCCTTAGTGAAATAATGTGCTTTGCTGTACTCCTTCAGTAACTTGGGTTTGCATGGAATAGATCTTTCGAAGTAGGTTTGATACTGAGAATAAATCACGGCATGTCTCGGAGGGATTTGGGAAAAATGCTAGATTTTGTCACCATGTACTAATTCCTGCTACAAAAGATGCTTGTCACAATATAGGATAATGCTTTGTTATTCTTCCATTTCCACACCACCTCCCCTACTCTCCCCCCCCCCCCCCCCCCCCC